TTATATGGGACCATTTAAGGTGGAGTGGTTCTTTGGTCTTATTAGCCCTTGAATAGCAAAGTCTGGGTCAGGATCTTAATTTCAGGATGGAAAGCTTTCTTTGCCACTTTGAGAACACCTAGTGTCTTCAACTTATTAATGCACTCATTTTGCTGGCTTTAAATATAAAGCAAACAGGAAGAAAATATGGGTTCTTTTCGTTCTGAGCACTGAAATAAAGTAAGTTTTTCTTGGTATTGATTTAACTCTAATACTATCATTCTTATGCTTAAGGATTCATTTACCGATTATATAGAATAAGAAAAGTTCCCTTTTTAAAAAAAAATCTGTTTTTTTTATTTTTTATTTTAGAGGAAGGGAAAGGGAGAGAGGGATAGAAACATCAATGATGAGAATCATTGATCCGCTGCCTCCTGCTGGGGATTGATCCCACAATTCCAGGCATGTGCCCTAACCTGGAATCAAGCTATGACCTCTTGGTTTATGGGCTGCCGCTCAATCACTGAGCCACATGAACCAGGCAAGACTCTCTTTACATTCTTTCATTGAAAATTTAAAGTAGCATTGCTAATTTGCTATTAAATGACTTAAAATATGTAAAATATTCATCTTTTTTATCTACATTCTATTTCCTTGTATCTTAAAAGTAAAATTTTAATTTATGTTATTTAATGCCATATTCAATGCACAACATAAAAATATTTAGAGATCTTTTGATAATCTTGCCTCAGAGCTTAAAACATACATTTAAAAATAAGCAAACTAAAAACATGTGAAGCATGCATAATTATAGCTAATCTGGACATGAATTTCATGCTGGAAAATCAGGTTTGTTTTCTGTGCTAAGATTTTGGTGGTTTAGCCAATGCATACTTTCCACTGTCAAACAAATGGTATGCCTAAATGAGGGTAAAAAATACAGAAATGTTTTCTGACATACTGAGTTTTTGAGAACTACTTTTTAATGATCTAGAATTCATACTCCCAAGTATCTCTCGGCCCCAAACAACCCTTGAACTCTTTACTATCTTTAGCATGTTATTCTTAAGAATTCCTTTCCTTTGCAAAGGTGAATACTGTCCACCTGTGTACCTTTTAAAGCTTTTAAATTTTGTTTTTTATTCTAAAGTGGAACTTGTTTAATATCTGGGCTTTCTCTTCCTTTTCCTTATATAATCTAACATATCTGTTATTGCAGAGGTAGCCTAAGTTTGGATGATTTTCGGTAAGTCTTGAGACAGCATGTGATTCTTTTCTGTCTAAGTTATTTAAGTCCAGAAAGTGCACCAAACCCATCTAAGTAGACCTGAAAAGGAAAATAATAAACCACTGTGCTATTACTGCCTTTATATCAGATAATTAGGATGTCTTTTAAAAATTAACCTCTACTTTGGTTATAGATATCCCCTGTTTGAAATAGCAGTATATCCTTAGGTCATCATAAAATAAAAATGTCAGTATAAAAATAAAATGATAAAACCATTATTTAAGAAATATGGTTATTGACTTTTCAAGTTTATTGAAGTTGTTTTGTTACTGAGTTTGCTAAATTACTTTTAGAATTATCTGTGTTGAAAGTATTTTTTAAAGCAGGAAGTACAGTATTTCTGGGCACAAACTAAAATGAGATATTTTAGAGATAGGTCATATTTCAAAAAGCCCAATTGTTTTATATAATTTATCTAGATTGTAGAGACTAGAATAAATTCTAGATGTTTGGATTTTAATAATATTTTGTCAACATTTTTATATTTGTTTTTGGAAACATTTCTATCAGCATTATGGTTATAGTTCTAAATTTTTAAAAACACTAATTGCATGCTTGTTTAAATAAAATAATCTAGAGTAAGTACCCTTTTTACCACTTAATTTAGTATTAAAATTTTTACAGTTTAAAATTAGTTTTATTTGCTCCTTAGACATATATAACATGCACATGTCATTATATACCTGGTATAGTTAAAACTCGATCAATTTACGCCTTTTTCTGTAATTTTGCTTGTAGAAATAGTAGTAATCCATTAGCATTCAAAATAAACTTTCATGGATTTTAAAATAGTCATTTTTACTTGGGTGTCTGTTGTAAGGGCTGTAATATATAGTGAGCACAAATTTTAAATTGGATAAAAGTTATATTTTTAATTGTTGAAACCTGGAGCAGTAGATTGTAATGGAGAAAATTTGGCTTATTTTTTGTGTGGTTGTTTTCTAGTTATTTCTTTTAGAAAATTTATTTTTGAAAAAATTTCAAAAGCAATATATATTGGTTTATTAATAGTAATATGTTTGGCAGAGCAGGCTGCTTTCTTAGGCTACATTTACTTTTATTCTTATATTCATTACTAACCCCTTCCTTTGACATTTTATCTTTTTTTTTATTACTTTGAAGATAACTAAGGTTAATTTTATACTACATTTTTCTTTTGAGTATTAATATGATTATAATGTTGAATTTTGTTTGAACATTTTCAGTCATAGAGGACCTAATTTTTTTTTGTAAAGTTCTGTCTAAAATGAACTGAGAGGGTCATAATTTATATATTTTTTATTCTACATAATATTATTTTAGCAGTACAGTTCTGTATAGATATTCTGCTTTGAACTTTGTCTTTCACATTAAAAAAAATATATATATTTCAAAATAGGTATGGCAATAAGAATATGTACCACTAGGGGGCTCTCATCTTTTAAATATTTTATTGAGTTAAATAAGTAAGTACATTTCAAATGTTTGTTAATGAATTGTTTCATTTATTTATCTTTACATTTAAAAATATATATCTTTATTGATTTCAGAGAAGAAGGGAGAGGAAGGGAAAGATAGAAATATCAGTAATGAGAGAGAATAATTGATTGGCTGCCTCCTGCATGTCCCCTACTGGGGATCGTGTCCGAAACCCAGGCATGTTCTCTTGCCCAGAATCTAACCTGGACCCTTCAGTTCACAGGCCAACACTCTATTTGCTAAGCTAAACCAGCTAGGGCTATCTTTCTATTTTTAAACTCTAAAATTTTGCTTTGAATTGTTAAGACACTCTATGACTGAGAATTCCGAAAAGTTACGTTAGCTATACCTTCACAACTATTTTTCTTTACTGTTGTTTACAGTACATTAGACTGTTGAGATAATTTGATTGTGATTGATGCATTTTTGTTTAATATTTAGGAGCACACAAAAAAGAGGAGAATCATTTGGAATCAGCAGAATAGGTAGCAAAATTAAAGGAGTATTCAAGAGCACCACCATGGAGGGAGCTATGTTACCTAATTATGGTTTAGCTGAAGGTGAAGATGATTTCGTAAGTAAACTTCAGACGTACAATAATATAAAAAATTGGATATGATTACTTGTTATTTTCCCTCTTCTTTATCTTTCTTACTTCAGGCTTCCTTTATATTCTCCGCTAGCAGGGTCACCTAAGACCATCAGAAAACACAGATATTTACATTACAATTCATTAACAGTAGCAAAATTATAGTTATGAAGTAGCAATGAAAATAATTTTATGGTTGGGGGTCACCACAACATGAGGAACTGTATTAAAGGGTCATAGCATTAGAAAGGTTGAGAATCACTGCTTTAGATAATCCAGATATAGATTTAAAAAAAAAAAAAAAAATATATATATATATATATATATATATATATTATTAATTTTTTACAGAGAGGAAGGGAGAAGGATAGAGAGTTAGAAACATTGATGAGAGAGAAACATCAATCAGCTGTCTCCTACACACCTACTGGGGATGTGCCCGAAACCAAGGTACATGCCCTTGAGCGGAATCGAACCTGGGACCTTTCTGTCCGCAGGCCAATGGCCTAGCCACTGAGCCAAACCAGTTAGGGCCAGATACAGAATTTTCTTTTCTTTCTTTAAGCCTTGTTTTTCCTTAAAAGTGTAGGTAGAATAAAGACAGTAAAACAGAGTAAGGAGTCTTTTTTTCAAAACAATGTTTATTTATATTTTTTAATTTTTAATACAATCTCAATTTTTAAACTAATATAGAAAAGTAGAAAAAATTTAAAATACCACCCATAAGCCTATCACCCAATAACTTTTATTAACATTTTGATTTTCCTTGTTAAAAAAAAAAAAGATCTATTCCTTTCTACTGCCATTGATTAGGCTATATTATATATATAGTTTGCTGTCCTGCTCTCTCCCCATTTAATACAATAACAAAAATTTTTTCTATGTTACTGTGAACTTCTCAACACATAATTTTTGTTGGGGAAGATGTACTTTTTATTTTTTGTTCTTCCTGATTACTTGAAATACAAGCTGTAAAAAGCTGAGAGAGTTCTCTTTTATAGAGGCACAGGAAATTTTTTATTAGAACCAAAGATAGTAATAATGGAAAGTAGGAGAAGAGGGCAAAGTAATCTCTAATACTCTGAAAAGAAAGGAAGGGATGGTCCTGGCTAGTGTGGCTCAGTTGGTTGAGCATCATCCTGTGCACCTAAGGGTGACTGGCTCCATTTTAGCTCGTTAAACAAATTTTCTATTATTTTACGATTCATTTTACTTTCTCTTCTCAGAAGCTAAATCCATGAACAAAATCAAAAATGCTACTCCCGTACCTTAGGTTCCAAACAGTAGAGTGGGTATTTTCCTCACACATGCTATCTCAAAAAGCAACATCTATTATCTCTAGTTTTATGTTTTTAGGTTTTGAGGACTTTTGTTTTCAACAGAATATTAAAAAGTCCCAAGATCACCAATGGTCTAATTGGAGATTATGGAAAGCCATTTTAGGACAAGAACAAAAAAAGGGTTAATTGCTAAGGGATTGTATGGGGAGGATAAGAATCACTTAAAAGAGAGGTGTGGGAAGAGAATAGACCTGAGAGTGAAGGTAGGGTGCTAGAATTCTGGAAATAAATTTACTTCCACCATCTGTTTGCTCTGATTAGGCTATTTAGAATTTTCTTAAGTATTACCATCTTTGATTCATTGCCTTAAAAAGTGTGTTTATCTATAATATTTTGCCCCTTTTAACATGAGTCAGAGAACTTGGTGACCAGGTGTAGATATACTATGCCACTTCTGAGGTTCTCTTTCAGTTTAATGAGGTAGAGACAGTTTTTCCTTCTTTCTTTGTGTATATTTTGAGAACATATTTATTTAAAAAAATAATTATTCTTCAAGTAATATTATAAAAATATTTGTTGTTCTAAACATTTAATTTTGGTTAATATTTTAGAAGCCAGGAGATTAAAAAACAGTCTTAATTTTATAGAGGTCCCTTTCAGACCTCTTCTCTAATTTTATATTATTTAATGCTGCAGTAAGTACTTGTGCCTTTTTCCCAGTTTAAAAAATTCATTTGGAGTAAATACTTTTATTAGAAAAAAATTCCCAGAAATGAAATTACTTGGTTGAAACTGTTTTATGGTTCTTTATAAATATACAGTGTCAAAAACGCTTTTTAGAAGGGTTGTGCCAGTATATTTAGTAACCAGCAATATGTACCACATATCCAGTTTATCTGTATAACCTCCATACATGGCTGTTTACATTTATAAAATTTTATATCCCTAAATTAAAAAGTATCAGTACATTAATTTTTACTTTTTATTACAAAAAATATTTTTTCTATATTTGTGTTTTTAATATTTTTTCCAATAATCTGAAGTTTCTATTTTCTATTGAATATTCACTTATAGGTGATGTAATAAAACCTGGAGTTGATGCTGTTAACTTGTTATTTGTTATGTATATATTTTCAATAGAAAATTTGATATCATCTAATCTCAAAATTATTAAAAATTATAGAATTTATGTGGACATATTACTTTATAGTTGTATCTCAAGTCTGAAAGTCCTAGAAATATTACTTTTTTCCTGGTGGTTTTTTTCCTAGATTGAAGAAGGTATTGTTGTAATGGAAGATGATTCTCCAGTGGAAGCTGTGAGCACACCTAATACTCCCCGAAATCTTGCTGCATGGAAAATTAGCATTCCATATGTAGACTTTTTTGAAGATCCCTCCTCTGAAAGGAAGGACAAAAAGGAAAGGATACCTGTGTTTTGTATTGATGTTGAAAGGAATGATAGAAGAGCAGGTAGGAAGCTTTATGAGTACCTTTCATAAAAGATTCTGGTTAGTCTGTATTTATCAGGAATGACAAACATTTTGTCATTTATAACTATTGAATATGACTACATATCCAAAAGGTATTTGTCTAGAACAGGAAATTGAATGAAAGCTTAGGATTTTCTAGGTTATCTCTATTACTAGTTAATTAATTATTTCAATCAGCAAGATATCCAACAACCCAACAAAGCATAGTTCTCTATATAAAAGCCTAAGCAACTGTTATAACCTAGTGACCAGAACGCCTGGAACGACTGGTCAACCAGTTGCTATGATGTGTACTCACCACCAGGGGACAGACACTCAATGTAGGAGCTGCCCCCTAGTGGTTAGTGTATTCCCACAGCCAACCTCCTGTGGCTGGCCAACCTCTTATGGCCCCTCCCCCCAGCTGGCTAACCTCCATGGCTCCTCCCCCTGGCCAGCTGGCTCTCCTATTGGCCCTGATTGGAGGGGCTGGATGGCCAACCTCATGCATTCTCTTCTCCTGGCTGACTGGCCCCCTGATAGGCTTCAATTCTTGGCCAAGCTGAGGGACCCCACCCATACATGGAATTCGTGCACTGAGTCTCTAATATATGCATATATATTGTATGTGAATATATATGCATCATATGCAAATCGACTGTTAGCTATGATGTGCACTGATCACCAAGGGGCAGACTCTCAATGTAGGAGCTTCCCCCAGCCCACCTGCTGGCTAATAGTTTGGTCCCTCCCCCTGGGTAGCAGGCTCGAATTGCCTGATGGGGAATGGGAAACTGGTGGGGTATGGTGGTGGATGTGGGCAGTGCTAGGCCAAGGTGGGTGGGAGCAAGTGGGACCCCGATCCCCCGCCAGTCGCCCCACACATAGAGGATAATTGGTGGCAGAGGGTGGCAGGGCTGGTGAGGGGCAGGAACTGGTCAATCTCTTGGTTTCTCCCTCTGGTTGGCAGGCTCTGATAGTCCAATGGGGAACAGGGAACTGGGTGCGGGGCCGGCTGCCAACAGCCAGGGGAGATTGGCCCTGGTTGCAGGCCAGGCATAGGGACCCTACACGTGCACAAATTTCATACCCTGGGCCTCTAGTTTTATATTATGTTCTTTTAACAGTTTTTGCTCTCATCATCATTAGCCATTATACTTAATTGGCTATTATTAATGCACATAGCACTATATCAGATATTATGTCAATTAAAACAGCATTTCTCTTCCATTGTTGTTGGCAAAATAGAATTGTGTAATTAATTACATCACATTTCTCCTCCATTGTTGTTGGCAAAATAGAACTGACAAAAATATATGATTAAACACAACTTTATAGGTTTTGTTCATGTTTTGCTATCTTTTTTTTTTTTTTTTTTCTTGGTTGTTTTACACGTAGATTTTAATATTGAGTAAATAGCATCCATACGGAGTTTAACAGTCCCCACCCTAGCCTTTGTCCAAGAGGTGGGACATCCTTATAAACAAAAGTACGTCAAAGTTGGAAGTGATGAACAGAAAGATAAAGTTGAACTCAGGAAGAGAAAAACTGTCTGTGATGAAAGAAGGCCTGGGTAGGGGCCTGTGGTGGTTTGCAGGCCAGCCACGCCCCCCGGTGACCCAAGCAGAGGCCGTGGTACCTGGAGTTTATTTATCTTCTACAATTGAAGCTTGTTGCTTGGAGCAGAGCCAAGCCTTCTGCTCACTCCGTGGCAGCAGCCATTTCTGTTGGGGTTTATGTATATTCTATAATTGAAACTTTGTAGCCTTAAATGGAGGCCTGGGCAGGCCAGGGTGTGTGGAAAGCTTGGCTTCCTCCATAGCCAGGGGCAACCCTAGCCTCTCACTCTTTCCAGCTCTGTGGCTGCCGCCATTTCTGTTTGGATTTGTTTAACTTCTATAATTAAAACTTTGTGGCCTTGAGTGGAGGCCTAGGCCGGCAAGGGAAGGCGGAAAGCTTGATTTCCTCCATTGCCTGGGAAACCCAAGCCTCCCTCCTGCTCTCTGTGACTGTAGCCATCTTGGTTGGGCTAATTTGCATATCCATTCCTGATTGGCTGGTGGATGTGGTTTGTGGGTGTGGTTTCCGAGTGTAGCGGAGTGATGGTTAATTTGCATATTACTATTTTATTAGATAGGATTTTTCATACAAACATTTATAATCCTACTTTTATTTCACGTTGTAGTTAGTAAATGGGGGAACTGGAATTGGAATAGGCAGGCTGACCTGATTTATTCATTAATTTTTTTTTAGTCTTTAAATCATTAGTTCTTACTATCCAATTTGGTAGCCACTATTTACATATGGCAGTTAAAATTAGGTTATATTAAAATTTCAGTTCTTCACTTATTTTAGCCATATTTTAAATGATCCATAGCTAATAGCTCCTGTATTTGTGCAGATATTATAGAACATTTATAGAATTTGCAGAATTCTATTGGATAGTGCTGTTCTATTGTATATAATAAAAGCCTAATATGCTAAGTGTTTGGTCGTCTGGTTGGCCATTCAACCAATCAAAGCATAATATGCTAATGATATACTAAGGCCACTCAAGCGCTTGCTATGATGTGCACTGACCACCAGGGTGCAGATAGTTGATTGGTTAACCAGCTACTATGATGTGCACTGAACACCAGGAGGCAAACACTCTGACTGGTAAGTTAGCTTGCTGCTGGGGTCTGGCCAATTGGGACTAAGTGAAACGGGCTGACACTTTCTGGAGCCCTTCCACAGCCTCCCTGACTTTCCAGCTTCCTACATCTCTCCCTGGCCCCGATTGTGTACTAGTGGGGTCCCTCGGCCTGGCCTGCGCACTCTTGCAATACGGGCTGAGGGACACTGTTCCTCGCCCCCCCCCCCCCCCCCAGTGCATGAATTTTGTGCACAGGGCCTCTAGTACTGTATATCCAAAATTGACTACAAATTTTTTATGAAATACATCATTTTTGTGAAATTTAAAAAATAATTATAATTGAATAACTTTTGAAGTTGCTGTCAGCTCTATGATTCTGTTGCAGAAAATATATTTATTATTGAGATAACTTCATAAATAGATGAATTTATCAAAGTTTTCTAAATAATTTAAAATTAAAATATGGGATAAAATACATTAATAGAGTGATAACAAGAAATAATACATTATTAAGACTGGAATAATTTCCAGCTCTGAATACTTAAATGTTTTAAATATTGCATTCTATTAATAATAATGGTTTATAAAATGATTTATTACTCAGGGTGTGTTCATTCAATTTACAGTTGGGCATGAGCCTGAACATTGGTCTGTCTATAGAAGATATCTTGAATTCTATGTACTTGAATCAAAACTAACAGAATTTCATGGTATGTTGTCCTTTTTGTATAAAACATTACATTTCAGCCTTAGCTTTCTTGAAAGTTGTTGAGCCAGATTAATTTTTAAACTCTAAGTAATAGTAACAAGGAACTGTAATAGTGACACCTATGTACACTTGATAATAGGATATTCTGTTTTATCTTAGTTCTGTTTGTTTATATTTTATTAATTTGTTGTTGCTATGTTATTTTTTTTTTGTTAATCATCACCTGAGGATATTTTTCTAATTGATTTTTAGAGAGAATGGAAGGGAGTGGGAGAGACAGAGGGAGAGAAACATTGATGTGAGAGAGACTCATCAATTGGTTGCCTCCTGCACACAATTGCCAGGGATTGAGCCTGCAACCAAGATACGTGTCCTTGACCAGAATTAAACCTGGAACTCTATCCACTGAGCCAAACCTGCTAGGGATACTTTATAAATTTTTATAGGACACGTATATTGCTTTTCAAATAATAATATTAAAGTGTAAAATATAGCTATTTTTAAACTATTTTAAAAAAGGTTTTCATTCCAATATAACTTTTTTAAAACTTGATGTATGGATAATTTAAACCAGACATTTCAGAGTTGCTCTTATTTTACCATTACCATTACCTTTCTTGGTAGACATGTGTGTACCTTGCATCATGGCAAATGTTTTTTGGTGTAAGGGATGATGTTCCAACCAACTGAACCACCCAGCCAGGGCCAAATATCTGGCAAATGTTTTAACTTAGTTTTTATATTTAGATATGGAAACCAAACTTGTAGATGAATGTTTCTTTTGAGAATAGAGCAATCAGAAAAGGAGAGCACTTTTCCTTTTTTGTTCTTCTCCCCTCCCAGTCTCTCCTATCTACCCACTTATATTAGTTAATAGCAGGGATATAATTATGAAGTATTTCTAGTCATTTTGTATGTAGATTGGTGGGCTTGATTTATGTATTCTGAATCCTTTTATTTTACAAAATCTCTGTGTAATGTCCCCTGATCCAAAACCAGATTGGTTCAAAATTGAGAAGAGCAAGGAACCTTCTTTACCTTACTATAAGAGCAAATCCCACGATAAAGAGATTATAGGAAGCTAAAAATATGTAAGGTTCCACTCCATACTTTTGCCTACATTTTGATGTTGTATTTGTCTTTAAATTATTTTCTCTTTGTCTCTGCCAATCTCATGCAATGCTATCATTGTCTTGTTCTTTCTCTGAGAACTTTTCCTTTAGTTTAGAGTTGAGAAAAGATCATATATCTTCATACTTTAAAATCCCAGATTAATCAAAGTTGGTTGGACTCCGAACAATATTCTTCCCTGTCTGTACTAAAATTTCCAAAGTCAGCCTTGTCTGGGAAAGTACACCCATGGTTTTTAAATTTTGTTTTTAAGCCGAAACCTGTTTGGCTGAATGGATAGAGCATTGGCCCGCGGACTGAAAGGTCTGGGTTTGATTCTGTCAAGGGCATGTACCCTGGTTGCAGGCACATCCCCAGTGGGGGGTGTGCAAAAGGCAGCTGATCGATGTTTCTCTCTCATTGATGTTTCTAACTATCCCTCTCTCTTCCTCTCTGTAAAAAAATCAATAAAATATATTAAAATTTTTATTTTTATTTTTAAGCTTATATAGCATTGGCAATATAATTTTTTTCCCATGAGAGAATAGGTATTTCTTTAGTAAGATTTTGTCTAATAAAATCTCCCTGATTTTGAAATAATATCATGATAATTTTTTGAAGCTTTAAAAGAAAAATCTAATATAGAAGGTTAAATATATCTATGTCAGTAAAAGAGTGGTGATATTTTGGATATCAATAGACTCAAGTTCTTTGGTTTGAATTCCTATGCTCTTTGGTTGTGCCAAGATTATTTAAAGGATAATGACACATCTCTACAAGGCAGCATTGTGGATATGAATTGGTTATATCGATAGTATATTATAAATTAGGTTTTTAAAGTAGAAGCAAAATATAGTAATAACTTTCATATATATTAATTTCAGGCACATTTCCTGATGCCCAGCTTCCTTCCAAGAGAATCATTGGTCCTAAAAATTATGAGTTCTTAAAGTCAAAGAGAGAAGAATTTCAAGAATATTTACAGGTATAGCACTAACTTAATTTAGAACATTGCTTGCTAATCACAGCATTCTCTGATTTGTCTTTTTTTAAATGAGTATTTGCTTTATAAATACTCATCAATGTCGATTTCTAAAATTGTTTTATTTAAATTTTTTATGTGAAGATAAATTATTGTCGAGTATATTTGAAAAAAAATTATAACTAATGAAATACCAGTTATTTTCCTAGAAGAAAGAAAATCTTATGTTAGGCTTAGTTTTGGTGTGGGAAATTAAAAGAAAGAAACAAAAACTTTGGTGTAAAAGATTAAATATATTCTAAGAATACTAAATAGTTTTTGTATTATTCTCTGATTTTTGTCTTATTCTCTGATTTTTTTTTGTTCAGCACTTCTGAACTTCAGAATCTTCCCTCCTGTTTATTTCTTCTTTTTCTTTTTAAATTTGAAGATGTTTTTTCAGTTTTTTGGGATATCCTGACTCTCCACTATTTACCACTTAGAAGTGAATTCTCTTTTTCTCATTGTGTGATCATTGTGTTATGTAAACAATGCAACTGCTATTTTTTCATTATTGGTACATCAGCTTAAAAGTTACTTTCTTGAGATTTCTCTAAAATTAATAACTATCTTTCTTTAATCAAGTGTATAGTGTCAGAGTGAATATTTCTGTTCTATTTTTTTAAAACATCTTTTTAATTTTGACATGCACTTTTGTCGTTTTTATTGTTAACCCAGTTAAATTTGGTTACCTTATAGCCAAAAAATAAGTACTTTATAAAATAAAAATATTCAACAGTATAAAGAGGTATTTAAATTTTATTTTCTGTATTTGAACTTTTGAATACTTTAACTCAGAAAGCATTTTTTACATAGTTCTTTTGGTGGTATAAAAATTGAATATGAATTAATTAATTACTTACTACAAGGATATTTAAACACAACACATAGTAGTGTTAACCTGTGTCTTTACTGATATCATTAACCATTACTTGAACCAATTACTTCTTTCTGAGAACTCTAGAGTATCTAATTGTAGAAGAAATATTTTCTGGTAATATGGAGTTAAATTTTACATTACTGGTAGTTTGTTTAATACAGGTAGGGTAAAAGTAGGTTTATAGTTCTATGGAAAATGATACAATAATTAATAAATAATAATACAAGAATAAACTGTTTTGTATACTTACAACTGTACACCTGCTTTTGCCCGACCCTATAGATTTCTGCTCATTAAGTTTTGGGACTCTTTTGTTACAAAACTGAATATTAGGCGAGATTGGGTTAGTTTTGGCTTTAAAGTTTTGGTTATATTCTTACAAGTCATATGTCTTGTAAAAATATAGGAAGTCTGGGCAACAGACTTTCCAAGTTATTTAACATTTCCACATTTAGTTTTTGCTAACTTCTTATGCCAACTTCTTTTAATTATCAAGATAGTTGTATGATATCGTAATAATTGTTTTATAGTTGAAAAACAGAGAAATAATATTAGCTAATGTTTAATTTTCCTTTCTATGTATCAGGTAGGCACTAAATGCTTTATAAATAACCTTATAAAGTAGGTAGTGTTATTTGCATTTTATGCTTGCAATAACTGACTCTTAGGCAATCTAGGAACTTTTCTAGGGACACCAAGCTATCACATAGAAGAATCAGAATTAAAACCCATTCATGTCTGACTGTAAGGTTGAGGGCTTATCTGCTATGTGATGATACTGTTCTTTCTATAAATATAGTTTTATTATTATTATTTTTAAATATATTTTTATTGATTTCAGAGAGGAGGGGAGAGGGAGAGAGATAGAAACATCCAGGAAGAGAGAGAATCATGGATTGACCACCTCCTGCACTCCCCCTACTGGGAATTGAACCTGTAACCCAGGCATGTGCTCCGACCAGGAATTGATTCTGTGACCTCCTGGTTCATAGGTTGATGCTGAACCACAGAGCCATGCCAGCTGGGCCATAGTTTTATTATTATTCTGAATATCAAATAGCTTTTGAGGATTTAAAATTGCTTTCTTGGTTTAAAAATTATTTAAAAATAGTTCTAATTATCCTTCTAGATATTTAAACTTTTTTCTTATTTTATTCATTCAAGAAACTTCTGCAGCATCCAGAGCTGAGCAATAGTCAACTTTTGGCAGATTTCCTCTCCCCCAATGGTGGAGAAACACAATTTCTTGATAAGATACTACCAGATGTAAATCTTGGTAAGTTGAATTAGAGAATCATATATTAGAGGATAAACATAAAAGAATCAGCATTTTCAGGTTAATTTAGAAAAAGGGTTTATGTAATGAAGGACTTCTTATACACTGTTAGTAGGAATATAAGGTAGAAACCACTTGGAAAAAAGTTTGGTATAAAACTAAATGACCCAGCAGTTCCTTTGTGCGATATATATACATATATGTATGTATGTATGTATGTATGTATGTATGTATACACACACACACACACACACACACACACACACACACAAGGTAAAAGCCTAATATGCAAATTGTTCCTGCCTAAGTTTGACCGGGAGACCGATTGTTCACTATGACATGCGCTGATCACCAGGGGGCGATGCGGAACGAAGGAAGGTCTGGTGAGCAGCTGGAAGGCCTCAGTTGGCCCTGATCGCTCTAAGGACCTATCTGTGCACTGGGCCTCCAGTATATTCATATTTAAGAATGTTCATAGCAGCAATGTTTATAATAGCCCAAACTGGAAATAATACAAATGTTCATCAGCAATAGAATGGACAGATAAATTATGGTAGATTCATAAAATGAATACTTATAGCAGCGATCCTATAGCATGTAGCTTGTTGCAGCAGTGTTGATAATTTTAAAAACATTGAATTATAGAAGCAAGACACAAAATAATATATACAGCATGACTTCTTTTATGTAAAGTTAAATATAAACCAAGCTAATATAATCTGGAAAAGTTTAAATAAAATTGTTAAAAATACTAATATTATTTCTCAATATATTTTAGCTAATTTAATCAAATCTATATAGACCTAAATGAATTAGTTAAATATTACAAGTAGGCATTTAGCTTTTATCTGTATTTCTATCTCTCCAAATGAATATATTTAGTTGAGTCAACATATTTAGTATGTGTGTGTGTTTGAGGTTTCTTCTAATAAGGGGGAAATGTGAGGACATAGTATAAGGCAGTGGTCGGCAAACTCATTAGTCAACAGAGCTAAATATCAACAGTACAAAGATTGAAATTTCTTTTGAGATCCAAATTTTTAATTATTTATTTATTTTTATTGATTTTTTACAGAGAGGAAGGGAGAGGGATAGAGAGTTAGAAACATCGATGAGAGAGAAACATCGACCAGCTGCCTCTTGCACACACCCTACCGGGGATGTGCCCGCAACCAATGTACATGCCCTTGACTGGAATCGAACCTGAGACCCTTCAGTCCGCAGACTGACGCTCTACCGCTCAGCCAAATCGGTTTTGGCGAGAGCCAATTTAAAAAATATATATATATTTTATTGAGTTTTTATAGAGAAGAAGAGAGAGGGATATAGAGCTAGAAACATCGATGAGAGAGAAGCATCGATCAGCTGCCTCCTGCACACCCCCCACTGGGGATGTGCCCGCAACCAAGGTACATGCCCTTGACTGGAATCGAACCTGGGACCTTTCAGCTTGCAGGCCGATGCTCTATCCACTGAGCCAAACCGGTTTCAGCTAGAGAGAGCCAAATTTTTTAAACTTAACTTCTTCTAATGCCACTTCTTCAAAATAGACTCACCCAGGCTGTGGTATTTTGTGGAAGAGCCACACTCAAGGGGCCAAAGAGCCACATGTGGCTCTCGAGCTGTAGTTTGCCGACCAGGGGATAGGGGATAGAATTGGGTAGACCTGGTTACTGAAGGTTTGATTGAAGGAGAAGAAATGTTCAGAGTGAACCGGGTTTCTATTTAAACAACTGGATGAATGCTGTTACTTGCTGATACAGGGAATAAATTAAGAGCAGTTCTGAACTTGCTGAGTTTATAAGATTTTAATTGATGTCTTATAAGTCAGGAGAGGCCAAGAGATAGGCAAGGAGTAGATTTGAATGTTATTTGAAATACGATTGAGCAAATCATTAGGCTCACGAAGAGCATGTACTAGAGAGAAAAGCATAGAATGAAGCCATGCAATTTAAGGACATTTGGAAATTCTAAGAGAGAGGAGTAGTTTATGGGGCTACCAAAGAGAAACAGCCTGATTGGATGGTTTGCATATTGTAGAACAATTTCAGTTTTTAATTTCTATTATCTCTCTCCCTATTGCCATAAGTCTACTTTTTTTTTTCTAAATTGAAAGAAATTTAAGTGCTATTTATCAACTTTGATTTATTTTTGCAATCATTTCTAAATGGTTGAGAAAATCCTAAGAAATTTGGCATTTTATAACATGGGAATCTAGAGATAAAATCCAGAAGAAATTTTGAATTAGAATGTATAATATTTAATTGAAAATATAGAATATAAATTACTCAAATAACTAATTTAAATGTAGATTTTAAAACTTTTTTCTTTTGACGAACTTTTGTATACTTTTATTTAACCTTTATATATTCATCATTGTTTAAAATCTTTTGAAAATATTAAAAAATATATATTTTATTTTATTTTTTTTACAGAGAGGAAAGGAGAGGGATAAAGAGTTAGAAACATCAATGAGAGAGAAACATCGATCATCTGCCTCCTGCATACTCCCCACTGGGAATGTGCCTGAAACCAACGTACATGTCCTTCACTGGAATCTAACCTGGACCCTTTAGTCTGAAGTCTGATGCTCTATCCACTAAGCCAAACAGGCCAGGGTGAAACATTAAAAAACACACATATATTTCATTGAATTTTTTACAGAGAGGAAGGGCAAGGAATAGAGAGAAACATCGATGAGAGAGGAAAATCAATCAATTGCCTCCTGCTCACTCCTGACTGGGGATGTGCCCGCAACCAAGGTACATGCCCTGGACCGGAATCGAACTTGGGATCCTTCAGTCTGCAGGCTGATGCTCTATCCACTGAGCCAAACTGGTTAGGGCTGAAAATGTTTTTTATGGAAAATTTAAAATATACAAAAAGCAGAGAAATTTGAATAAGGAACTCTCTATTTTATTCCAACAGTTATCAATACTTTTCTTGTTTTGTCTTTTTCTCCACCCCCGAATCCAATTAAATTATTTTACAGTGAATTCCAAATGTTGTATATATAAATAGTTAAGTTTATCATAGATATTGTAGATTTATATTAAGTGTGAAGAGGTCAATTATAAATATTTCTTATTATTTTACTTTTTACTTGACAGCTGAGTATTTAAAATTACATAGTGAAGTATTCATATAAACAATTACAATGTATATTATCCCTTCATACACTTAATATTTTATTTTTAATTGCAGGGAAAATTATAAAGTCTGTTCCTGGAAAACTAATGAAAGAGGTAAATAACTAATTTATGTGTATTCTATAATATAATAGTTAAAAGCATATTTAAATATTAATACATCTTAATGGCTTATGTGGTATTAAAAATCATAATCTTAATTTTTGATTTTCATACTGTGATCTCTGTATTACCACAGAAAGGTCAGCATTTGGAACCTTTCATCATGAATTTCATTAATTCCTGTGAATCTCCAAAGCCTAAGCCATGTAAACCAGAACTGACCATTCTCAGTCCTACTTCAGAAAACAACAAGAAGGTACTGAACATTACCTTAAAGAGACTTAAGTTTGAAGTTGTCTTACTTGAGATGACTTTTCCATTAGAGGGAGAATCCTGTGTTAATGAAATGGATAGTATTTTTAATTTTTTTAATATGGAGATCAGTTGTACAGTGTAAGGAGGATATTGTGAATAGTTGCTTTGTTATTTCTTTGACAGGTTAAATATTTCTTTATTTGCAAACTTCAATCATTTCTATATTTGGTGTTTTTTTTTTTTTAATTCTCACCCAAGGATATTTTTTTCCATTGACTTCTAGAGAGAGAGTGGAAGTGGGGGAAAATAGGGGAGGGGAGAGAGAGAGAAACATTGCTGTGAGAGAGAGACATTGACTGGTTGCCTCACACACACACCTCTAATGGGGTTGGGGAATGAACTGCAACTGAGGTACTTGTCCTTAACAGGGTATTGAACCCATGACCTTTTGGTTCAAGGGCTGATGCTCTAAACCACTAAGCAACCAGTCAGGGCTGGGGGACTTTTAAAAAATATATATATTTATTGATTTTAGAGAGGGGGTGTTCAGGATGGAGCTGATTGATGTTTCTCTCTCATAGAAACATCATTGATCTCATCTCATAGAAACAACATTATTCCTCTCTGTAAAAAATCAATAAAATGTATTAAAAAAATGGTTTTCTGAGTTTATAAATCACCAACTTCCAATAATCAAGAAATTACTTGCTAGAATGTATTTATGTTTATTTGATGGTATTACTAATGTTAATAGTTTATAAAGTGTCTTATCTATTCATTAAAAAATATTTTATTGGGTGCCTACTATTGAGTGTTAGGCACTGGGAATAGATATTCCCTATCTGTAAGTAGCTCAGTTTAGTATCAGAGTAGGGCCCAGTCTGGGGACCATCTTCTCTCCCAAAATACCTTTATTTTTGTTGTTGTTATAACTTTATTGTTGGTTAAAAGAAATAGAGTTGATTTTTGTGTTTTGATTTTTAATTCATTAATTTTGAAAGACTTGTATTAAGTTTAGTAATAAATTTATTAATGGTTTTAAATTTACAAACTTATCTGCAAATGATGGCAGATTTTATTTCAATTATGGCTAGGACTTGCTATATAAAGGGAGTGATTTTATTGTTTTACCATGAAATAGTACATTTTTTATAGATATCCTTTATTGGGGTTTAGGAAGTTTACCTTTTTGTTTATCCTATCCTTGTTGGGTTTTTGTATTGAGTTAGATTAACCTTTTTCTTTTAGCTGGTAGAGTTATTAGAATTTTTAGTTTTTTAAGTAATTGATAGAATTTGTTGGTAAAGTCATCTAGATCTTGAGTTTTGTTCGTAGGAACATTTTTTTACAGCTAGATTTAATTTTTTTAATGATTATAATCTTTAGGTTTATTATTTTATGAATTACTTTTTGATAGGTTATATTTTTCAACGAATTTTCCATTTTATCTAAAACTGAAAATCTTTTGGCTTAAAGTTGTCAATAATATTCTTTTTATTCTCTCTGACATCATCAGTTATGTCCCCTTTTGTTTGTGTCTTCTTTTTCTTATCTTCTTTTTTAATCAGTCATGCCAAACGTTTTGTCCTTTGGCTTTGTTGATCTTTTCTGTCTAACTTTTTTTAGTTTTTTAATATCTGTTATTTGATTATTATTATTGAGAATAGACACCTTTTAAATAGTTTGGGGGTAAATAGAGTTAATATTTAGTAGAATTTCCTCATTCATAATTCTTTGTATCTTTGTTTTTTCTCCCACATTAATCAAAGTCTTATCTCTTTATTATTTCAACTTTTACTTTAGCTTTTCAATGACCTGTTTAAGAATAATGCAAATCGTTCTGAGAACACAGAAAGAAAACAAAATAAGAATTACTTTATGGAGATGATGACTGTAGAAGGAGTTTATGATTACCTCATGTACGTAGGTAAGACGGATGTGGTTACTTTTAAAATATGTTTTTCATTCATGAATTATATTTCTTATATGATGCAAATTAATGCTCTTAAGTATTGCCTATTATAATATTTTTAAAAATTAAAATTTCTTTTAAGAATTCAATACAATTTGCCTTGGACATATTAAAGTTTACTGGTGTTAACAAATAAAATATAGGTCATTTGTGTTTTTTTATATTGGAAAATGTCAAAATATATATCTTAATGAAGTATTTCATGTGATCCTTTCAGGACGAGTAGTTTTCCAAGTTCCTGACTGGCTTCATCATCTCTTAATGGGCACTCGAATCCTCTTTAAAAACACCCTGGAAATGTATACTGACTACTGTATTCACTGTAAGCTAGAACAGCTATTTCAGGAGCATCGTTTGGTCTCACTTATAACACTTCTCAGAGGTTTGTATTTTCTCATGTTTGTTTTGTGTTTTGTGTGCTCTTGATTTCAATTAGATCTAAAAGAGGGAGAAGTCTTGTTTTATTTGGTTTATTAATTTTTCTTCTATGAGGAAATACATACTTGGTGTAAAATAAGTGAAAATCCCAGTAAATATTTTTCTCTTCTCAGATGCTGTATTCCGTGAAAACACTGAACCTCGCTCTCTCCAAGACAAGCAAAAACGAGCAAAACAGACTTTTGATGAAATGATGAATTACATTCCAGGTATAATATTTAAGAAGTAGTTTAATATAGATAAACACCACTTTGAAGTGAAATGTATAGTTATTATTAAAGCTAATTTTTACCCTGAGTTTTCATTTTAGAAATAGTTATAAGGGCCAATTAAAATTAATTCATTTGTTAAATAAAATTTGGTTTTATGATGATAGAACTAAGAACTTTAAGACAAGGCTATTTCCATGCATGCAAATAGATTCTTTTAATAATATCTTATCATCAGAGTAATCAGTGACATGTTTGTGAGACAGTTGGAGTCCTGCTGTCCACTTTACCATGAGAAGAGCTATGCTAGTGTGTATGACTAGAAAGTCAAGATTCATTCCAAATTTATTGAACACCTTCCATGCGCCAGACACTGTGCAGAAGGCAAGGGATAAAAAAGTATACTTGGATAGCTCTCAAGTCTAGCAGGAAGACAGACATGCAGTCAAAACATACATGTGATAATAGAGTCATGTGTCTTAAAGGGAGAGGATGATCACCTCTCCCATAAAGGAGGTAGGCTCAGGCCACTAAGTAAGTGAATGGTAGTCTCTCTTACTGAGATGGGAAATACAAGGAAGAAACGTCAAGGGGTCAGAGCAGAGGACACTGGTTAGCTGTCCAAGTTTGGGAATTGGAGGAATGATGGGACTAGAAAAGAGATGTGGGAGTCATGTGTGAGGGATAATAATGCCTAGAGAGAAAATATAGAATAAGATTCAGAGAGCTTAGGGCTGTACCTTACAGAATTCTCATTATTGAAAAGTTAGTTCCAGAATAGTAGTCTGCTTCTCTGTGTGAAGACAATTAAGTTAAATCCCTGGTCTGAATGTAAAAGTGAATGAAAGCTATTTTTGAGTAAGTCTTCCATAGGTAAATGATGAAATAATTTCTTACCTGTTTCATAATATGATATAGCATTCATGGTTTTAACAGTCTTTAGTGTTGCTATTCAGGAACAATATGGAAAGCCAATGAATGTAATAATTTGTTATTTTGCTGAGGCACAATTTGAATTACATCTACTTGAAGACTTTAATTTGGGAAGGAGTAGTTTAAAGCTTAGCATGTTATTCTGTTGCCCTTTACTCCTCATTTTTTAGTGACTCCTGAAGGACCTGAAAGGATCACTTATTTTTGTCTGTTATGCTCCAGGCATATTAACTTGGAAATTCTATTTAGCATTGGTGAATTAGAGGACTAAAAAACATCCATATTGGATTAATTACATAGCTTAAAAATATCAAGGATCTGCTATGCATCTTGTAAATCAAATTTGGCCTTTGCCTCTTAGGCTTAGATTTACTTCATAGAAACAAACATGAGCTGAGAATTTTCTATGAGCAGCATTAAGAGTTCCATGATGATTGGGGGATGGGACAAATATTTGAGCAACTTATTTACTTATGAATGATTTTCTTTTCCTGTTTGGGGGAAAACATTCAGCAGATATTTTAATAAGGAGGACTGACACTTGAGTAATAAGTGATACATGACACTTCCTGGATCCTAAATTAATGTTTAAACATTTCCTAAAAGGATTGTTCTATGGGACGGATAATAGTAATTATGCAAATCGTACAGAAACAAAGTGGTCATATTCATTTAGGAAAGTCTACTAGTATGTTAAAAATTAAATTAAAACTTTTTTTCTGATATATAGATTAAAAGTAGGGGCATCCTCTTTCCACTGTGCAGAAATAGCTAGGTGCACCAGTTGGTGTTCTCACAGACCTTTTTCTGTGCATTTCTATGTGTGTATGCACAAATGTATAGATATACTTTTAGGATTTTATTTTGTTTTCTCTGAATGGAATAATATAATATGTATTATTTTAAAACTGTCTTTTATCCCTTAATAGTATAGACAGATTTCTTTACATCCATATGCTTGCAGTATGCTTTGTGCATTATGAATCTCCAAAAGGAGGATACCTGGTACTGCATTTCTCAACTGGACTACACAACCATTGCAGAAACCCTGGTTTAATTTAGTGTTTGCATACTACCCGGGAAACAGGGTGGAGATTTTCTGTTATGATCCAGTTAATGATGAGTCACTTTATAATATAAAAATGTTTCACATGTAGTTTTCTTGTTTAGATGTGATTGTCAAGTGTATTGGTGAAGAAGCCAAGTATGAAAGCATCAGGCTTCTATTTGATGGCTTACAGCAGCCAGTTCTCAACAAGCAGGTAAATTTATTAAAGCAGGTTGACTAGAGTTGGCTGGGTTTGGTGAATGGCACAGTAGAGGTTTGGTATATTATTAACTGTGAAGTGACACTATATTAAATCGAAGCAGCATAATTCAAACATTCAAATAGAAAAAAGTGTGTTTTGTTTGTGCTGCACTTTTTAGGTGATTACTGTTTTTTTTTAGCATGATTTGTTTTGATTTAAAATAAACATTCATTGTAGAAAAATTGGAATACACAGAAAATTCATGAAATAAAATAAAAATTTTAAAATTGAGAATTTCATCTTTCAGATAACAGAATAACAATAGTTAATATTTTTATGTTTAGAGTCTATATATATCTGTTGACATCTTAATACAGTTACAATTTTATATTCTGCTTCTTTAAAATGTTTGTTACATATAAAATATCTAACATAAAATGAATTATGAGGCATAACAATAAAATGTCCACATGTGAACACAGGAGTATCTAACACTGGTCTTTTTTTTTTTTTTTTTTAAATATATTTTATTGATTTTTTACAGAGAGGAAGGGAGAGAGGTAGAGAGCTAGAAACGTCGATGAGAGAGAAACATCGACCACCTGCCTCTTGCACACGCCCCACCGGGGATATGCCCACAACCAAGGTACATGCCCTTGACCGGAATCGAACCTGGGACCTTTCAGTCCACAGACCGACGCTCTACCACTGAGCCAAACCGGTTTCGGCTAACACTGGTCTTAAGAATAGAGCATTATCTTCCTAGCCGGTTTGGTTCAGCAGATAGAACATTGGCCTGCAGACTGAAGGATCCCAGATTCCATCTTGGTTAAGGGCACAAACCCAGGTTGTGGGCTTGATCCTCAATAGGGGGCATACAGGAGGCAGCCAGTCAATGATTCTCATCATTGATGTTTCTATCTCTCCCTTTCCCTTCCTCTCTGAAATTAATAACAAATATATTTTTAAAAATAGAGCATTATTGGTACTATTGAAGCTACTTTTGTGCTTATTTTATATTGTCAATTCTACTCTCTGCCTTCCCATTTAGAAATAACCACAGCCCTGAATTTTGTGTTTGTCAATTTTTATGGGTTTGTCTAATGCCTTACAAATTTTTTTTTGTGCTTTAGCTGACTTACGTTTTATTGGACATTGTGATACAAGAACTGTTTCCAGAGCTCAATAAGGTAACTAAAAAGCAGTGATTTTATTCTTTGCTATTAATCATATGCTCTGACATTTATTTTAATAGGGCCATAAAAATTAAGAAAATCCTTGACTATGATCCTTTAAAAAATGAACGACCTTAACCTTTAACAAATGGACCTTTGTGTTTTATTTATTCAACGTGCTCATAGAATGGATTTTGGTGGCAGGAACTGAATAGCCTTTGCCTTAACTTCATTCCTTCCTAATTAAAAGCAGAAAGGGACACTATATCCTATAGAGTCTTTCCAGAGGAAAGCGTGAGGTAAAGTCCCAACCTAGAATGGCCACGTTCTCCAGGCTGTCTTCAGCAACACTGAATGCTGTGTAAGTCAGACTTGAGTATTTTTGAAGCAACTCAATTTTAAAAAAGGATGATAATTATTACCATTATATTGACTCCTGAGGATTTTGAGGTTAGAACAAAGATTTAAGTTATTATTTTTTACTGTTTTTATTTTTCTGACTAACCCTTTTGGTCAGATGAAATAACTGCTCTTTAAGGTTTTAGTATAGCATTGAAATGCTTGTTTCATAGAGTAGGATAATTCAGATTTGAACTATTTACCTATTAAGCTTTCAATATAGTAATATTATATGTATATTAACAATAAAGATTGATTTTAAAAAAAGATAAAAAGAATACATAGTGAATAGTAAAAAAAAATATATGTATATTAAAACAGGGTAACAGTTATGAACATTTTATGTTCAATTTACATGGGAATCAGTACAGAAAACCTTCAACTCTCTATTTGAGACTTTATAAGGTCTTCCCTATACCTTGCCATTTTTCTCATCTCTAAAACATAAGGCATATGCCAGCTAATTTCTTTGTTGTATCTATCTATCTATCTAATATATATATATGTATATGTATATGTATATGTATATGTATATGTATATATATATATATATGCCTAAGTAACCTTTTGACCGGTAGCTGTGACGCACACTGACCACCAGGGGGCAGATGTTCAGTGCACAAGCATGGAAACATGGAACAGACTGATGAATCTCAGAGAGAAAGGGGGAGGGGGAGGGCAGGAAAAGATTAACCAAAGATCTTACATACATACTAGAGGCCTGGTGCATGGATTCGTGCACTTGTGGAATCCCTCGGCCTGGCCTGCGGGGACTGGGCTGAAACTGGCCCTCTGACATCCCCGAGGGGTCCTGGATTGCGAGAGGGCGATATATGTGTCTTAGGTAGAAATTTAATACGCTGGAATTGTGGAATTGTTAGGCAATTCATAAATGAACCTTATTGTCTTTTATTAAATGGACTTATTTTTTCTTTAGGTACAAAAGGAAGTTACCTCTATGACATCCTGGATGTAAAAATTTGGATTTGGGATAGAATAACCAGTTAAAGTTTTTGCTGTGCTCACATAGTAGAAATATACTGTTTTTTCTTTTATTTTTGTATATTCTTGTATATATCATGTAATTCTGTGTCTGAGATTTTTTTGTTTTAATAAAGACTAACAAACTTAATTATGATTAAAAGTGATTTGGTTTCATAGCCTTTTGTTTTACATTTGTTATCTAAATTCTATTAGAATATATGTCACTTGTTGCCATTTTTTGAGATAATTCATAATCTTCAGGCAAACAGATAAGGCTGACAACATTTGTATTGTATCATTTTGAAAATAATATGTTTAGTGTGGAGAAAAAGGGGTAAGATCTTACTTGCTTTCTTATTTAGAGTTAATATATTTTAGGAGGTTTCCCCTTTTTCTTCTCTTTCTACATAGTTAATTGTGTATCTAAAAAGAAGACATGCTTTATGAGTTTTTCAGAGCAAACAAGGGACTTCTTGATCTTTGTTGAATGAGAGACAAGTTATAAACCTTTTAGGGGTGAAAACTGAGATATTTGTAATTGTGTGATTACAACTACATTTCAGAGAATGGATGTAACGATATTCCAAAAGCTTATAGGTATAAGAAATTTAGTTAAGTAGATTTTTGGTTTATGTTGTCAGTTGTCTCTCCAGAAGAAAAATGCAGAATTCACTGTTATTACTTGATGAAAGTTAATTTAAGTGATTGTTTTTAGAAATTCAATGTTTAGAATTCTACTTAGAATTCTTTCTCATTCTATGCTTTTCTTCTTGAAACAAATTTGTCTTTAAAGATTGAGCATTTTGTGTTTGGTTATTGGTTGTAGTGTTCATTCAGAATATATTTATTGAGTTTCAGCCATGTATAAGGCATTAAACTGGGTTATGTGGGAATTCTGAAATGTAATTTGGAAAATTAACTCATTTAATGATATGCACTCATTTTTTCAAAGGTTTTATAAAATGGTCTTTAGGTGTAAGTTTTTGAAAAGGTTTTATCTGTAGTATTAAATATATATATATTTATTTTATTTATTGATTAAAAAGTTGTTTTTAGAGAGAAAGGAAAGGAGAGAGCTAGAAACATGGATTTGTTGTTCTACTTATTTAAGTGTTCATTAGTTAATTCTTGTATGGGCTCTGACCTTGTAAAGAATCCACATCCTTGGCATACTGGGATGACACTCTAACCAACTGAGTCACCTAGCCAGGGCCCTATTATATTTTTTATTACCTGAAAATTGTAGAATATGTATGAGTTTCTGAGAATCAGTGCTTTAATATTAAGCCTTAAATATCTAGTAATTTCTCAAGGACTGGTAGAAAGTTAATCAGGTTGCTACCTCTTCACATTTAAATGCATAACATTTTTGAACATTATTTAAAATATCACTGAGAACTGGAAAAATAAAATATTTTATAGCCCTATTTATGACATCCTTACCTACTCACTTCTAAATTGCTATATTCTGTTTATTTAAATGAGAAAAAAGTTATGCATGTATAAGTCTATTTGGGCTGCCATTACAAAAATACCATAGACTGTGGGTGGCTTAAATAACAGAAATTTATTTTTACAGTTCTGGAGATTGGGAAATCTAAGATCAGGGGCCCAGCAGTGTAGGTGTGCTTATATGACTTCTGTGTGCCAGAGTATGGGAAGAGAAAGATAAAAAGATGTATCCTTCTTCCCCTTTCCCACCTCCTCTTCCTGCTGCTTCCTTTTCCTTCCTTCTCTCCTTCCTCCCCTTCCTCTCTCCTACTTCTTCCACCAGTCCTATTGGAATACGGCCCTACGCTTATGACTCATTGAACTTTAATTATTTTTTAAAAGCTTCATTTTTTTTTTCTAAAAGCCCAGATATAATAACATTGGGGTTTAGGGTTTCAACATATGAATACTAGGAGGACACAATTCAATCCGTAGCAATTGGTGAACTCTATTTAAAGAAAATGTGATGTTATAAAAGTTTTCACATATAAAATCAATCATTCACATTATAAAATGAAGGAACCAGATGCAGTATCATTGGCCAGGCATTTTATATACTTGACCACATTTCATCATCCATCACAGTAACTGTGAGATGGCATCATTTCTCTTATAGGAGAGGATGTTGAAACCAGAGAGAGGGGTGAAGTTAGACTTAGATCTGTCTCTCTAGTCTTCACGATCTTATCAGTGTTTCCCCATGAAAGGAGCTTTTATTTCCCAAAATAGTCACTTTCTGGATCCCTGTAAACAGTATGTTCTCCTGGTGTATTGCAAAAATTTTACTTTGCACATTCCTTTCTATCCATCTTTATATTAAGAGTGACCTCTACTGCATGAGCTTTCACATTTTTCAAATGTGTTATTGGTATTTCTGATTAGGGGCATAGAATGAAATTAAACATATGGAAAGCACTTTGAAATTTATAAAGGTCATAATAATATATGTTACAAGTATAATAATTTAGTTAATAGATATCAGAAGATTCTGATAAATGGTTGAAAGCAAGCGCTTAAATGACCATTTATTAACTTACTAAAAACCATTAAAATTTTTATTTTTTATTTTTAAAATATATTTTATTGATTTTTTTACAGAGAGGAAGGGAGAGGGGGATAGAGAACTAGAAACGTCGATGAGAGAGAAACTTCGACCAGCTGCCTTCTGCACACCCCCACTGGGGATGCGCCCGCAACCAAGTTTCGTGCCCTTGACCGGAATCGAACCCGGGACCTTTCAGTCCGCAGTCTGATGCTCTATCCACTGAGCCAAACCGATTTCAGCCATTAAAATTAAAAACAAAAACAAAAACAAAAAAACCTCTTTTATTTCAGAGAGGAAGGGAAAGGGAGAGAGAGATGGAAGCATCAATGATAAGAGAGAATCATTGACTGGCTGCCTCCTGCACCCCCCTCCCCCACTGGGGATCGAGCCCGCAACCTGGGCATGTGCCCTTGAATGGAATCTAACCTGGGACCCTTCAGTCCTCAGGCCAATGCTCTATCCACTTAGCCAAACCAGCTAGGGCAAAAAACATTAAATTTTACAATAGAATATAAACAAGTCTATTTTGCCTTTCTTTTTAGCAAACCAATCTTATATATACAAGTTATAATTTCAGATACAGTCAACATTAGAATAATAATGGCTGAATGAGCAAACAAATCTTGCTAGTCCACTATGCTGTACGTACTTCATGTCAGTGTGTGGTTTCTTTTATTTATTTAAGAATGTCTTTAACAGTGCTGGGTACACAGAGGAGAGATCTTTAATCTGAAGCCTCTGGGCCCCTAGAAGATAGTTACGTCTAGTGAAAAGTTGTGTTTTTATTTTCAAGTATTGTTTCATTCCAAGTAATGGATGTGGCTGTATTCCAAAAAAAACCTTGTTTTTATGCAGCAGTAGCAGGCAGGGTTTAGCCTGTAGGCTGTAGTTTGCTAATCCCTGAAGTAGAAGAAAAGGGAGAAGGGAAAAGAAATACTGTTGGAAGAATTGTAATCTTAATTTTAGGGAGTAGGAGACAGAGGCTACAATATTTAATATCTGAAAAAAGCCGGCCATCCTTCTTGCGGAAGAGTTCATCGGTCTTTTGGTTTTAGGAGGGTTAGAATAAAAAGGAGTCACATTGCTCTGCACAATGAAAAGAGTGTTTGTGTTTTTAGGTAGAGAAATTGTTCTTTGTTTTCTCTGGAGGAGATGATCCTGGAGAACAGGACTGTGTGGCTTTTCATCCGAGTGAAGAGGGTGGCACAGAGGCCTGAGAGGGAATTATGCGCGATTCATTCAATTAACAAATGTGTATTTAGCACTCACTATGCTCCAGTTTTAGATGCTAGGGATATATTTTTATATTTATAAGCCTACATTCAAACTGAGGGGACACAATAAATAATAAGTGAAGAAACAGTATAATATGATCTAAAGTAAATGTTCAGAGGAAAATAAACTGAGAAAGGAAATAGAGTGGAATGGGTACAGGGTTACAATTTTAAATAGTGCAGGATGGGACACTGAAGAAAAGATCTGAAGGAGGTGAGAAATCAGCAATGCAGGTTGAATAATTGAAGTTAAGTACATAAGAGTTGCATCTGTGTGGACACAGACAAGATACAAATAAGTTTAGGGTGGCGGGTGAACTGAACACGAGAGGGACAGACTAGATCAAGCATGTCAAACTTAATGGCCCACAGGCTGCATGTGGCCCACAATGAATATTTTTGTGGCCCAGCCAATATAATGATATGTAATAAATGTTTTAATAAAAATTTTGTAACTTTATTTTTACAATATCCTGATATATATAATCCTATATAATAAAGAGGTAATATGCAAATTAACCCTCATGCCCTCACAAGATGGCTGCCTATGACCAAATGAGGCAGGGGTTTAGTGAGGGACGACCAAACAACTGAACAAGCAGGCTACGTGGGGCAACCAGGCCGGCAGGGGGATCATGAGGGGCCACCAGGCTGGCGGGGGGGAGGGGAGAAAGTAAGGAATGACCAGGGCGGTGTGGGGCGGGCAGTTAGGAGCTACCAGGCTGGCAGGGAGGGGGCAGTTGGGGCCGTTCTGGCCAGCAGTGGGGGACCGGCAGGCAGGCAGGCAGGTGAGCCATTAGAGCCAGCAGTCCAGGATTGTGAGAGGGATGTCTGACGGCAGTCCCAGATTGGAGAGGTTGCAAGCTGTGCTGAGGACCCCCCCCCATGCATGAATTTCAAGCACCGGACTGCTATTAATAATGAACTACAGCCAGGACCGGTTTGGCTCAGTGAATAGAGCGTCGGCCTGCGGACTCAATGGTCCCTGGTTCTGGTCAAGGGCATGTACCGTGGTTGTGGGCACATCCCCAGTGGGGGGCGTGCAGGAGGCAGCTGATCGATGATTCTCTCTCATTGATGTTTCTGACTCTCTATCCTTCTCTCTTCCTCTCTGTGAGAAAACAATAAAATATATTTTAAAAAATAATGAATTACAATGTTTGCTAATGATTGATTACTATAATCGTGTTGCATTCATTTCCCTTACTGTGCAAGCGGACTATTTCTCTCCACTAATGCTAGCAGCGAATATTTTAGCAGCCGATTTAGTCTTGTACTAACTTGTTTGGTGTGTGCAACAGGAAATATTTCGCTTTTGGAGAACAAAAAAATACATTATACTTTGCATTATACTTAATAATTTGTCCAGTTATTCAGTATCTGATAAGTTAATGTTCAAGAAAAATATTAATTTTTATTAAAATGTCCTATTTATGTTAACAACTACTTATCTCAGCCCTTTGTATTCAGCATGTCTCTATTGAAATAAACCTACGTTTCTATGGAAATAGAAGCTTTTATTTTTTGTGGCCCACATAAACTTAAACCTTGTTTATTTGGCCCTTGTTAGCCTTAGAGTTTGACATGCTTGCAGCGGTCGCCAGTCCGTGGTTCCTGGATGACTGGTAGTTCGTGAGGTCCAAGAGATTGATGGCCACTGGACTAGAGAATGGGACTATGAAGCACTGCAGACTGTTGAATTGTACCAAGTGCTGAAAGTCGTTTTAATTTATGTGCAGCAGATTCTCAAAACCTTAGAAGGAACCAACCCTGAGACTTGATCTGAGACTAAACCTCTAGAACAAAGATGAATATCTGCTGGTTAAGCCACCTGGTTTTTGGCATGTGGTGACAGTAGCCCCATGAAATGAATCTGGGACCTTTCCTAATTTAGGCAAACCCAGCCAAACATCCATGGGACTGCATACTCCCTGAGGGAGCAGCTTTTTCTAAAGGACAGCTGTTAGCAGTCCAAGCTCTCTTGTAAGAAAGCCAGATCACCATCTCAAGCTGCTGAAGGCGCCCGCCACCCAATGGATTAATGTGTCTGATAAAGTCTATTGTGTCATCCATTTGCTTGAAGATTCTTAGATGCACAACCAGTTCAGATAAATTAGTTAAAATCCCCAACACTAACGTGGACCTTTTTTATTTCTAGGAAACCATTACTGGCCTCAAAACAGTTTCTACATCAGATTCTACATATGAAAGCCAGAAAATGTAGTAGTCTTTTTTAAAAAAAAATTAAATTATTATCTGTGTACATATTTTACATTGCCCCCCACCCCCTTAAATGTAGTAGTCTTACTTAAAATATTCTTTACTTACTCTTCTCGCCTCCCTAAAAATTACATGTACTTTTCTTTCCATTTTGGGGGTGAGAAAGGGGACAGGGAGGGTTACCTATAGCAAGTGGCCTTTGATCAAGGGAAATGATATCAGTGATAAATCGTGTTTTCTGTCAGTCATATTGTCTTGGTGTTCTTGAGAGAAGAAATAATTACCAAAGACAAAGAGCCTATCTTCAATTTTATTGTTTGGAATCTGCAATTGCAAAGTTTTGAGGTCATTTCTTAAACCACTGCACAACTTATACACACATATTTAGAAAAGTTGTAAAAATGTTCTTTAAAGTTTGTGTTCCAGTAGAATTTACCCTATTTTACAAGGCCAAGCAGAAAAAATATACCCAAATGCACCTCTAATTTTCCCTACAATCTTACTGACATTATTTATAGCTAATGTGTATATACATAGAACGGAGGACATTATTTTGCTGCCACCACCTTTATACAGATGTTATGACAAGTATATTCTATGCCAAGGGTACTTAATATTTGTAAACATTAAGAAACAAACATATTTCCTATACAAACCTCTAGCTGGTGTTCATTATTTTTTTTTAACTTTTCCATATGCATAAAAATATTTGGAAATGTATAAATCACAAATGTACAGCTCAATGGACTTCACACACTAAAAAAGCCTGAGTGACCAACCAGACAGACACGGAATACTGTAGCACCCCAGAAACTCCTTCCACACTCCCTCTGGTCCACAAGCTTCTGTTTGGTTTTATTTTGTCGTCATTGTAGGTGCTCTTTCTTAGGTGCTCACTCTTTTCTAAGGGGAAGGTTTCCCTTTCTCATTGGATCATGCAACGGTGAGCAGGTTCACATGCTCCCACAACCACCTTTGGGCAAAAATCATCTTCTCAGTCTGGGTGTTTCCTGAGCACCCTCTCGGAGGGGCCTACTCCCAGGTAGGAGCACTCATATCTAGACTTGAGAATGACTTAAGAGTGACTGTTCCCATTTGGAGGCAGAGCTGACTTCAAACTGCTGTTGTACACCTGTTTTATTTTTATTTTTTTAATTTTTTAAAAACATTTTATTGATTTTTTTACAGAGAGGAAGGGAGAGGGATAGAGAGCTAGAAACATTGATGAGAGAAACATCGACCAGCTGCCTCGGAATCGAACCCGGGACCTTTCAGTCCGCAGATCGACGCTCTTCCACTGAGACAAACCGGTTCGGCTCACTGTTTTTTATTTTTTAAAAATATATTTAACTGATTTTTTTACAGAGAGGAATAGAGAGTTAGAAACACCATTGAGAGAGAAACATCAATCAGCTGCCTCTTGCACACCCCTGAGTGGGGATGTGCCAGAACCAAGGTACATGCCCTCAACTGGAATCGAATCTGGGACCCTTCAGTCAGCAGGCCGACACTCTATCCACTGAGCCAAACCAGTTAGGGCTATACTCTGATTTTATAAATCAACCTTTGTCTCCCCTTTAGATTTTCCATGACGGGGGGAGGGAGTGTGTGTGTTTGTGGTATGATGAGAGGAGGTACTTGCTGGGGAGGTTTAGACTTACACCTGGTCTAAGAAAGTTCTCTTCTCATGACACCTTAAAATTAAGAAGAAAGGAAAGAGCACAGAAGCAGAACTGATGGACTCTCATAAACAGTTAATACCACGTGTCAGGCACTAGGCTGCTACTCTCAGGAAATAATCTATTTAAGAAATGTATGTCCTTTAGCTCTCTCCTGCAATGAACATCGGTCCTGGGTGCCCCTCCTTTTCTTCCCTTTCTCCTCAGCCCTTGACTTAGCCTGTCCAAGTGCTACATCACTTGTTCCTTGACTCATCAAAGGAATGTAAGAGGCACAAGAAAGAAAGCTGCCCTTGTTTAGTCCATGAAACTTGCTATAACAGGAGCTAAAAAGGAATGAGAGACAGAAGTAAAGCAGAGATTTGTTATCCATGAAGAAGAGAGGAGTCCATTAAGTATTCCCAACAGCTTAAAATTTGCATATGCAAACCGAAGATGGTGGTCTTCCTCTCTCAGGGCTCATTTTTTATTCTTTTCCTGTGTGTTCACTAAGTTGATCCTGAGTGGTGATGTCTTCACTTACCATCTTCCAAGCTCAGCTTCCAGGAGCCTGTGAGGATGGTCTGGGCCATTATAAAGAAAGTTCCTAAAGGCAGTTTCACACATGAATGGTAAGGAGAGGTTTTTGGTTATTGGTATAAAACAATGATAGCTGCCAAAATTGAGAGGAATATTAGATAAAAGTTTCCATGGTAACGACTTCCTGCAGAAAACGTGATCCGACCTTCAACTGCTGGATAAACGACTTTCATTTTTGAGATGTATTGAGAAACCACGGTGATATCTTGGTCACCTAGAAAAATATGGACATTATTTTAGTGACAGGAAAGGTATCAACAGTCAGAGAAGAGACGGCCAATGTATTTCTCACAGTTCTTTGTAACTGTAATTGGGGAACAATCCTTTCCTCCTAGAGGTAAAATGTCCCGAAGAATAGAGAGCGGTGATCACAAGGGCCTCTTCCTGTTCCAGGTGTGAATGCACCTCAGGGAGAGGTTGTGGACATCATTGCCTTAAAAGCTCTTGGGGAACTGGGCAAGAGAGACGCGTTGAGACATACAGTGGCTTCCTTTTGCTAGCCTGCTCCAGATTCATTCCCACCTACTTGCTGGAGAGGCAATGGGACTTCATTTCCAAAAGGAGAGCTGATAAAGAAATGCTCACTGCCTACTACAACAAACCCTTAGGAACCCAGCAAAATTTGTTTAAAAAATACCACTCTATAAATCATGTATCTGATAAGAGGCTTATGTTAAAATACACACACACACACACACACACACACACACACACACACATATGTCATACAACTCGGTAGAAAAAAATCTAGTTAAAATTGGACTGAGGGTTTGAATAGACATTTCCCCACAAATGTCACACAGATGGCCAACAGATATAAGAAAATATGCTCAACATCACTAATCATCATGGAAATGCAAATCAAAACCACAGTGAGGTATCCCCTCGCACCTATGGACATGGCTGTCATAAAAAAGACAAGGAGCCGAAACCAGTTGGGCTCAGTGGATAGAGTGTCAGCCTGCGAACTCAAGGGTCCCAGGTGATTCCGGTCAAGGGCATGTACCTTGGTTGCAGGCACATCCCCAGAGGGGGGGTGTGCAGGAAGCAGCTGATTGATGTTTCTCTCTCATTGATGTTTCTAACTTTCTATCCCTCTCCTCTCCCTTCATCTCAGTAAAAAAACAAATGAAATATGTTTAAAAAAAAAAAGACAAGGAGTAAGTGTTGGTGACGATGCACATTGTTGGTAGGAATATAAATGCACACAGCCACTATGGAAAACCTTATGGAGGTCCCTCAAAAAGTTTAAAATGGAATTGCCATATGATCCAGCAATTACACTCATGAGTATTTATCCAAAGAATATGAAAACACTGAATAAAATATATACACCCTCATGTACACTGCAATATTATTTTCAGTAGCTAAGATACAGAAGCAACCTACGTATCCATCAGTGGATGAACGGATAAAGAAATTATGACATACATATATATATAGGTGGGGAAAAGTAGGTTCATAGTTGTCCACATGGAAAACAATACAATAATAAGAATACAAGAATAACTTTGTATTTCAAAGCATATAATTAAACTTACTTTTGCCCCACATTATTCACCCATAAGGGGGAAAAAAAAAAGAAATCTTGCCATTTGGGACAACACAGATGGATCTTGAGGGCATCATGCTTCATGAAATAAGTAAAAAAAGATAAATATCATATGATTTTACTTATATGTGGAATTCAACAACAACAAAACCAACCTAACAGATACTGAGAACAGACTGGTGGTTATCAGAGGCAGGGGAGTGAGGATATGGGGGGTGGAGGGGTGGGGAGGAGGGAGAGAAATGGGTAAAGGAGATTAAGTGGTACAGACTTCCAATTATAAATTAAGTGTTGGGAATGTAAAGCTCAGTATGGTGACTATATTAATACTGCATTGCTATAAGAGTAGATCTTGAAAGTCCTCATCACAAGAAAAAAAGTATTTTTTGTAACTATGTATGGTGATGGATGTTAACTAGACTTATTTAGGTGATTTCACAATGTATGCAAGGATCAAGTCATTACGTTGTACACCTGAAACAATCTCAATGAAAAGAAACTAATGTTATATGTCAATACAATCTCAATTTAAAAAAAATCAGTGGATAGAGCGTCTATTACTTAAAAAAAAAACTCCTCTCTGGTTCTTACCTCTGGGAATACATTAGATTCACTGAAAGAGACTTTTCTCGCTACCCAATTGAATTAGAATCTCTTAAACATTGGGGCCAAGGTACTGGCATTTCATTTAAAATGCTCCCCCAGCCGAAATCGGTTTGGCTCAGTGGATAGAGCATCGTCCTGGGCACTGAAAGGTCCCGGGTTAGATTCCGGTCAAGGGCATGTACCTTGCTTGCGGGCACATCCCCAGTAGGAGGTGTGCAAGAGGCAGCTGATTGATGTTTCTCTCTCATAGATATTTCTAACTCTATATCCCTCTCCCTTCCTCTCTGTAAAAAATCAATAAAATATGTTTAAAAAAAAATAAAATGCTCCCCCAGTGGTTCTGGTGTGTAGCCAGGGTTGAGAACCCTCAGGGCCCAGGCTCCCTCAGTTTTCGGGTTGAGTTCCTCTTCTCCAACTCCCATCGGCCAGGGTGGGCGTGGTGCTGCCCAGCCACCAGCCTCTGCTTCATGGCGCTAGAGAGCACCTTGTGAAGCTTGCCTTTGCACCTTCTGGCGTGGAGTGCACAGAAGTGGCCAGTGCCTTTCCCCAGGAAGGGCTGCCTCCTCTGCCGGACTGCTCTCTCCCTCCTTGGGGTCAGCAGCTGGAATGGCAGCTCTGCCATGGCAGGGGGGCTGCGGAGGAAGCTGGCTGAGCTGTATCCCAGAGATTCAGGGAGGCTGTGCCCGTGTCTTGCAAGCTCACTGATTTCTCCCTGGAGAAGAGGGTAGTGTGTTCTCTCAGTGGACTTCACGCACACGATGTGGTTCTCAAAAGGACTTTTAAAAGGCTGGTGTCTGATGGCCCTAAATGCTGTCAGAAATACTGACTGGTGCCGAAACCGGTTTGGCTCAGTGGTGGAGCGTCGGTCTGCGGACTGAAGGGTCCCGGGTTCGATTCCGGTCAAGGGCATGTGCATTGGTTGCGGGCACATCCCCGGTGGGGGGTGTGTGGGAGGCAGCTGGTCGATGTTTCTCTCTCATTGACGTTTCTGGCTCTCTCTCTCTCTCTCCCTTCCTCCTCTCTGTAAAATATCAATAATATAATATATATATATATATATATATATATATATATATATATATATATATATATATATATAAATACTGACTGGCTCAAGTGTGGTTCCCATAGCGTGCGCCACCAACGTGCTCTGCTGAAAGGGCGGGGTCATCTCCCATGCACCCCTTGGCCCTGTCACACTCAAAGCTTCCTGCGGAAAGCTGAGATGATGGACTATGATGATTTTCCATGGCCAACCTAAAGTTCTAGAGGTATGTTTTTCTGTAAGTGCAAAACCCATGTTTAACATTTAAATAGCTGTTTATCCTATATAATAAGAGAGGAATATGCTAATTATCCGTCACACCCTGAGGTGTAAGGACCCACCATGAAACGACCAGATCACGAATCTGCAGAAGGGTGCGGCAGCGAACTGCAAGCAGCAGGAGGGGGCAGGGCAGCAAGCTATGAGGGGGGAGAGCTATGGGAGGGGGCAGGGCAGCAAGCTATGAGGGGATTGGGAGAAGCTACAGGAGGGCGGCAGTGACCTACTGGCGCACAGATTTGTGCACAGGGCTACTAACAGGTACATAAAAGAGCTTTAAAAACAGTTGTGATTTGTAAATGCGTTTTCCCTGGTGTGGATGGCTGGGTATGTGTGCTGGGAGGGCGTTGGCCACAGGGGCAGGCTCTGGCCTCTGCCTTAGCCGCTCTGGCATTGTGAGTAGCTCCCCGCTTCAGACCAGCACTGCTGTTCCCGAGTTCCTATGGGGCGTGGAGGGGGGCAGGCACCTGTGCTCACCTGAGTCATGCTGTAACAGTTCTTCTTTTAACATCTGGTACCCATCTCCACCGTTGGCGAGGAAGCTCGGGAGGATCACCTTATACACCTCGTCCGCTCTGAGAGGCTCGTAGCTGGGCACTCGGCACCGGGTGCAAAGAACATCTAGTTTGACTACTCTGTCCCCAGGTTTTCTGGAAAGATCATACACCACGTGGATTCCTAGAAAAGAAATGCAATTGCATGTTTTCATTGGACCCAAAGGTTCTGTTTTCTGAGAAAGAGGTGTTGGCCAAAGCCTGGAGCTGGGGCCCTGGGCCCGGTTTTCACGGAGTCTGAGCGTGAGTGAAATTCAGCAGGAGTTGCGGTGACGTTGCTGCTACCCTTTCAGGTTAGGGGGCGTCCTTCTGGGAGGTCTGAGAATCACTGGAGGAAAACCCAGCTCTGGCTTCACATGGGCCAGGACTGCCTCTGTGGGGAGAAACTACATCTTCCTAAAATCCCAAGTAATGCCAAAACCGGTTTGGCTCAGTGGATAGAGCGTCAGCCTGTGGACTGAAAGGTCCCGGGTTCGATTCCAGTCAAGGGCATGTACCTTGGTTGCCGGCACATCTCCAGTGGGGAGTGTGCAAGAGGCAGCTGATCGATGATTCTCTCTCATCGATGTTTCTAGCTCTCTATCCCTTTCTCCTCCTCTCTGTAAAAAATCAATAAAATATATTTAAAATAAAATAAATAAAATCCCAAGTGAGTTGACTCGGCAGCTTAGGAAAATGAGAAATAGATGAGAGGGAAGCCATTTGTGACAATGCTGAAGAGCACAAAATGGCAGTCATTTGGACGTGAGCGACTTCCACAGACCACACAACTCCCAGCAGGGTGCTGGAGCACCCAAACCTGCTGTTCCCTGCACGCTCTCCTGCAAAGAGGCAGGACGTTTGGGTTACCCCACAGGCAGCAGGCCCAGGCCCGGACCCCCCCTCCCCCCCCCCGCCCCCGGCCTTCGGCAGCCCCTCAGTCCTCAGTGTTCTGCAGAGGGAGAGCGCCACCAACAGCCACCCCCACGTCCAGGACAATGAAACGAGGCCAGGATGTGCTCTCAGGGTCAAGTAAAAATGTCAATTTGAAGGTGAAGGCTCCGGGCTGTGGGATTGGCGACAGAAGCGTTTCAGAAGTCCTTGGCCATTTCGAAGAATGTACCTTCATTCGATGTTCACTGGGACGCGTGAGACGAGCGGCGGGCGGGCTTCCCCTGCCTCCAGGGGCGGTGGAGACCTGCCTGGGTCAGCGTGGAGCCAGACCCCGTGTGTGTGTGTGTGTGTGTGTGTGTGTGTGTGTGCGCGTGTGTGTGAGGCCAGGGCCGGAGCCCGGCCAGAACACGTGCTCCGCCCATTACCGAACCCCTTGCTTCAGTAATCAAGGGGTCATTTGATTTTACTTATTTTATAAAGAGTACTGAATATCTGAACAACTGAGATTTTAATAGAAACGCCTTCAATGAAGACGGCTGCTCAGGACCTGTAGTGAGTCTAACATGGTAGTGAGTGTTAAGCATTGCTTAGGTCCTCCAGACAGACAGACAGACAGACAGGCTGACAGACAGACAGCCTGTCCCTGCCGCCTGCCCCTGGTTGAGACAAAGAGATGGGCTTGGGGCTCACACCAAAACGGACTGGCTCTGAGAGCACATCAGGCTGCCCCTCCGGGAAACCGTCCGTGCTCATACGGTTATGACGAGGACACAGGAGGGATTTTACTCTGTTTTACAAAGAGGATGGAGTGTTCGAACAACTAAGATGTTAACAGAAACGCCGTCAAGGCAGCTGGCCGGTGTGAGGCCGGCGGGCTGCACCTGCGAGGGGCCCGCCTGGCGTCGGACTGGGCGATTCTCCTCTCCAGGCCTCGGGCTCTGATCTCCTCTTGGGGGCCTGGGTGTCCGCGTCCTTTAGGAGACTGTGCACCAGTGTTGGCTGACAGAGAACCCGAACGAGCCTGGCCGCAGAGGAGGCCACTTACCGCCCACCTGCAGGAACTCGCCGTAGGACTTGCCGTAGCGGTGCACGCTGTGCTCGAAGGCCTTCCTCAGGGTGGAGCCCTTCAGCTGGACCAGGTTGAAGGTGTCCCCGAAGGGCAAGACGGCCTTCAGGCTCTCCCACGTAATCGTGCCTGCGGGCGGCCACAGAGGAGGCAACGAGGAGCGCGCCTTGAGAACAAGCATTCCCCAGACCCGTGTCCTTTAGGGCTGGCGGGGGAGTTGAGGGGGATGGGAGGCGATCCGGCCAGCACCCTCCGAGTCTAAGTGGCTCCTGACGCAGTGCAGGTGGGAATGGACTCAAGATGCCCTTGGCTGTGCCCTCCCCGCCTGAGCTCTAAGATGGCAGGAGTTTGTGACCGGCTGTGGTTCCCAAGCTGCCTGTGCCTTGCCTGGATCTCCTGGCCCGAGGCGGGACCTGTAGTGAGTGTTAAAATCGCGTAGGTCCTGCAGACAGACAGCATTTCCCTCAGGCCCACACTTGCCTGCCCCTGATGGAGACAATGAGATGGGCTTGGGGCTTACACCAAAGTGGACTGGCTTTGAGAGAGTACATCAGGCAAGGCAGCCAGGGTGTCTGCGCAGCTGTCTGGCTGGTGTATTTTACCTAGAACATGACCCTGGAGATCTGTAAGTGCACGGAAAGGATTGCACCCGGGGGTATGTTCCCAGCACAGAAGACAGTGCTGCCTTTCTCTTTCCAGACAGCAGCGTGGAGGCTGCCAGCATCTTGCAGGAATCAGCGGCAATTCCCGTTTAACTTTGTGAGCCGGAAGCTTAGATCAAGCGTGGGGTCCACGGGCCCCGGTCTGCTGCCTCCACATGCAAATACACCTGAGAACATGTGTGTGTGTGTGTGTGTGTGTGTGTGTGTGTGTGTGTGTGTGTGTCTGGGAGGGGCAGGACTGAGTAGCAGTTAGCTCGAGGTGACCTTGTGGTGCGAGGCAGGCAGCAGAGCTCAGCTGGGGCTGCCCGTGGGCGCGGCCACTCCGAGCCCGGGGCCGAGCCTGGGGAGCGTACCGTTATTCCGCTCATCAATGGGAGACCGGATGCCGCCGCCGTTTAAAATGCACATGGACACGTGGTTCCAGGACGTTTCATCCAAGTGCCTGATGTTGTTGTTGATCTGCAACGGGAGCAGAGTTTGGGTGAGTTACTCTGGGTCTTCCTCCTGGGGATCCGGTCCCGGAGTGTGGCTGGCTCTCCTGAGGAAAGGAAGCTGCTTCTCCCCGCTCCTGAGTTCCCCGGAGCTCTCAGGCGTCATCAGAATGAGAAGCAAAAGTGCCGAAACCGGTTTGGCTCAATGGATAGAGCGTTGGCTTGGGGACTGAAGGGACCCGGGTTCGATGCCCGTCAAGGGCATGTACCTTGGTTGTGGGCATATCCCCAGTAGGGGGTGTGCAAGAGGCAGCTGATCCGTGACTCTCTCTCATCGATGTTTCTAGCTCTATATCTATCTCCCTTCCTCTCTGTACAAAATCAATAAAATATATTTAAAAAAAAGGAGGAACTGAAAGGTTGCATAAAAAAAAAGAAAAAAAAGAATGTGAAGCAAAAGTAAGGCATGGTGACCCATCTCCAGCTCTGAGCCCCTCTTCAACCCCGTGCTCTCCATGGGCCTGAGCGGACGGCTCTGAGCCGGACGGGCTCCGTGCAGACTGGCCTCCGGGGCTGCCCCGCATGAACCCGGCCTTGGACTGCAGGCCTCAGGCCCACACGGACCCTGGCCTCCACATCCAGGGCCCCAGCCAATTCCCAAGCAGCTATTTTTTTTTTTAAGAATATATTTTATTGATTTTTTTTATAGAGAGGAAGGGAGAGGGATAGAAAGTTAGAAACATTGATGAGAGAGAAACACTGATCAGCTGCCTCCTGCACACCTTCTACTGGGGATGTGCCCGCAACCAAGGTACGTGCCCTTGACCGGAATCGAACCTGGGACCCTCCAGTCCTCAGGCTGATGCTCTATCCACTGAGCCAAACTGGTCAGGGCCCAAGCAACTATTTTGAAGGCCCAAGGACAGCCTCCTGAAACGGGGGAGAATCAGTTGCATTCTTACTTTCCTTTTTACAAAATATATGTTTAGTGACCAGAAATAAAGTGAATATATTCTCATTTTGTGTGGGGGGGGAATAGTGCAACACGGAGAGTTTTCTCACCCTGGCCCCAGTCTCTTGGCGGAGAGGTGAGCACTGCTTACGGCTGGGGCATTCCCTTCGGGACCTTCCTCTAAGCAGCTCACGTACCGCCGTCTCTCCAGCTACTTCCTGGCAGCCTTGGTTTTACCGTGGAGAGCGAGAACACTGCCATCGATGTGGCAGACATTTACTGGGCCTGGCCGTGTCCTGAGTACGTACAGAGCACAGACCGAGAGGGCCCGTGGGTGTGGGCTTTGCATCTGACGGGAGGAAGGGGGGTGAGATCGTGGCTCAGCAAAGCCCTGAGGGGGGCGGGCGGGCGGGCGGGCGAGAGGTGCCCGCCATGGGCCATGGAGCTCAGCCACAGGAGCGGTTATTGTCATTGTCACCGTCTGCTTGGGAAGGAGGTTCTGGGGGCAGCCAGAGGTCAGACCCGGGAAAGGCAGTCTCCAAGGTGGGCCCGAGCAGATGTGTTTTGTCTACTGTGTCTACATCCTCAGAGCAGCAGAGTTTGCGTATTCCAGTCATCTTACAGGAAAAGCAACACTCAAAGCTCAGACGTCCCAAAACGAACACCTTACGTAAAGGCTTCAGTCCTTGCGATGGTCAGCTGGTCTCGCTCGCACCCCTTCCCAAGGTGCTCTGTGTGAATCCTGCCCGGCTTTGGTCTGGGCCCTGATTTTGTTTTAGATGCTCCATTCTATAACCACCGGGCTGTCCCCCTTGCATCTCCCCTGCCTTCCCCTCCTCCCTCCTCTCCTCCCGGGCCTGGGCCCCGCGCCCCTGCGGGCCGCTCACCATGGCATCGCAGATCAGGTTGCCCATGTTGCACTCCCCAAAGCGGCACGACTGGCTGGAGCCGTTCAGGTAGACAATGGTTTTCCCCAACTCCTGGGAAGAGTAATTGTCTAGTTTTAACCGCCACCTGTTAACGTCTGCTTTTATTTTCGGATCTGGAAGAAAAAACAAACAAATCACACACACACACACAAAAATCATTCTGTAGTGAAAGCCGGTCTCACACTGGCCTCCATGATGAGGAAGGAACCAAATACATTCCGCTTCCCCGTGCTGATGGGCATTTTGCTTAGACTGTGCCATCTGCTCAGGAGCCTCCGTCCTGTTTCCTGGTACGGAGACCTGGAATGGACCTTTATTGGACGACGGGCAGAGCACCCAGACACCAGTGCATCACCTCGGGGCCCCTGCTGGCCCCCGTGCTGGCACTGCTGGTCTGGTGGGCACTGCAGGCCCAGGGCCAGGCACACAGGCTGCTGAGGTGCGGCCGTCTGCATGGCCGGCCCCTCCCCTGGCTGCTGGGAGGTCTGTGTGGCTGAGGGGGGGGGGCACCGTGGCCCCTCACGGCCCCTTCCTTGAGCTGACCAGGCTGAGCAGCAGACGCCGGGTGAGAGGTGTAGGAGTGTGTCTATGTTGACTGGATGGAAATGGATGACATAGCCGAAACCGGTTTGGCTCAGTGGATAGAGCGTCGGCCCTCGGACCAAAAGGTCCCAAGTTTGATTCCGGCCAAGGGCATGTATCTTGATTGCGGGCACATCCCCAGTAGGGGGTGTGCAAGAGGCAGCTGATCGATGATTCTCTCTCATCGGTGTTTCTAACTCTCTATCCCTCTCTCTTCCTCTCTGTAAAAAAAAAAAAATCAAAATATATTAATGAAAAAGAAAAAGAAAATGGATGACATAAAATGTATTTTAATGCTGAGTCCCAGGCCAAAAAGGAAGAAAGATAGCCCTTCATTTGGTAAGTAATGCAGCTGACGCCCCTGAGCTGGGCGACTTGCCCAGGCACACTACTGCGGGGGGGGGGGGGGGGGGGGGGGGGGCAGGGCTGGAGCCCTGCTCTGCCGGGTCTGACCCCTTTGCTTCCCTCGTCAGCTGTCCTCTGGGTGTGAGCTGAGAGCGGCTTTCCCACACCAGGGCCATGCTTGAAATGCCCAAGAGGCAGCAGGACAGTGTCTGATGCTAAAAGGACTCACAAAAGCAAACGGGGCCGAAATCGGTTTGGCTCGGTGGTAGAGCGTTGGTCTGCGCACTGAAGGGTCCCAGGTTCAATTCCGGTCAAGGGCATGTACCTTGGTTGCAGGCACATCCCCAGGAGGGGGTGTGCAGGAGGCAGCTGATCAATATTTCTGACCCTCTGTCCCTCTACCTTCCTCTCTGTGAAAAATCAATAAAAATTTTTTTAAAAAAAAGCAAACGGGGATTTGTGGCATTTGGGCATGTTTTAAATCTCTTTATCCACAAAAGCGATACCTTTAGGAGAAGCCCAGTTCTACAGAAGTATTTTAGTCTTGTCCTGAAACATTAACAAGAAGGGGAGGGAAATCCAGCCACCTGGTTTGGGCTCCACGCACCTTCAGGAATGCTGCTGTTGAGAAGAATGGGGTTTCCGTGGGACGTGACGACGTTTCCTTTGTCATCAAACTCCACCTTCAAGTAGCCCAAGTATTTGCCGAAAGCGTAGGCCTGGACCACGGGGACCGCCCGGCCGTCGTCGGAGGTGACGATGAAGGGGTAGTTGCCCGCCGGCACCTCTTTGGAGGGGGGGGTGCCTGGAACAGAGGGGCCAGAGCTGGTAAGTCCGCCCTTGTGCAGGGCTGGCTGCCGGCCAGCAGGCCCCGGGCCGAGGACAGTGAATTCTGAGCCGATGCCTGGCCCGCACACAGCTGGTCCCTCAGAGCCCGCGGGCACCTGCCAGGGTCCCCGCGCCCCTCGCCACACAGACCCTTCCACTCTCCGCGGCGGCGGGCACTCGCTGAGCTCTTCCCGAGTCGGGCGCTGGGCCTGGGGCTCGGGGACAAGATGCAATGCCGCCGACAGGACCCTCCCTCCCTCCTGCTCTGTTCTCACCAGCCACTGCTCCTCACGGCGCTGGAGCTTCCACACCCGAAAACGGGGACAGAGCTCTGAGCTGGCTCACAGGGCTCTGCGCGGGCTCAGTGTCTGACCGCCCTGGCCCGGTGCCTGGCACATGGCAGGTAATAAATGCACACGTCCTTCTCTTGTGAGGCGATGGCAGCCTCTAGACACACACACACACACACACACACACACACACACACACGCATGCACGCACACATGCCAGACACACACTCCAGATCTCAGGATCATGACTGAACGCGAACAGAAATGACCAAGGGCTGTCTTCAGGTTTTGCTGCTACATCCTGGGTCCCTTCCAGTGCCTTTGGGAAGAGCCACATACATCCTCTGGCTGACCAGCACACACCCTCCCTGTCCACTCGCCAGACCTCACGGGGCGGTTCTGCAGATTTCCGTCTCAAAGGGGGCCACTCACCCCCCCCCCCCCACTGTGCCTCCTGGGCATGAGCCTGCGTGGGGGCGGGGAGCCGGCCACAGGCCGCAGGGAGCCCGGCACAGGAAGGCTCGCATCCCCAGGCACCTGTTACTTCTGTGACCTCACCCCTTCTCCCGGCACTGCAGTTCCATCTCCCTCCTCAGAGACAACGACCGCCTTTGGGTTGTTCTGATGGAACAGATGCCCTTGACCTGCCCCTGTTCCTATCACTCCCCTCCTTCGCACCAGATGTGAGGGGTCAGGGAACGTCAGCTGGCATTGCTTACTGTCACGGACCAGTCCTGGGAGGCAGCCAAGAGCCACGCCGGGGCTGTATCTCACCTAATCCTCCAAGCATATCCCCATTTACAGACCAGCAGACCGATGGCCACAGGCTCGTGGCCAAGGTCACAGGCTGGTAGGCGAAGGGCACACTGGAAAGCAGGCTGTGAGGCACTGAGACGCTGTTCTCTCCACACCCAGCACAGCCCACGCTGCTCTGTTCTCCTGCGGCCGACAAGAGCTGGCTGCCACAGGCCCCTCACCGAGCCGGGTGCAAGCCCGGGCGGCCCCTCAGGCCCTGTGCTGTTTCTGGAGCTGCAGTGAGTGTGATGGAGACCCCATCCCTGCTCTGCTCCTGTGCGAAGGGCACCCCCCCACCCCCCACCCCTCAGCTCAGCAGCCTCAGAGAAGTGCTGCAAAGGCCGGCACTTCACAAGCAGGAAGGGCTGCTGCCAACCTTCGTTTCCCATTTTCATGCTCCCTTTGGGGAAAAAAGAAAAAGAAGACGGTCTTAGCACTTTATTCTGACGAAAGCACCTAATGTGAGCCGTGCAGGCCTTGTGCCCTCTCCGCCTGCGGTGTACAGTTTGTTGGGCTCCTGTGGGTGACCTGGAGCAGAGCACAGTACCGGGGAAGATGAACATTCTGCTCTGTGCTGGTCCTCCTTTGGGCAAGCCTGGAACCTGCTTTTAGGGGGTCGGGAGCTGTGGCAGGCCTCTCCCTTCTCAGCTGGGGAGGGTTACAGGAGGTGGTTCTCTGAGCCCTGAGCAGCTTGGGGAGGCGCAGTTCCTAATATGCCCACAAGGTGGCGCAAAATACACGTCCAGGAGGAAACGGCACTAAATGGAAAGGACGCCTGGCAGTTTCCTGGAAACCCAAGAGAAGGTTTACCTGTATGTTTCTGGCTTCCACAGACACAGCTGAACTGGAACAGAATGTTAACGTTAGAAACCTGAGCTACAAATCCCAGCTCCCGACCGGCAGGGAGCATTCTCCACCTCCGAAAACCCAGGACGTTCCTTTTCTTAGAACAAGACACGTGTCCTCTGTGTCTTACCTGGACTTAATCAGGAACTGGGAGGCCACTTCCTCTGGGGTGAATCCCTGCCTCCAGGGCAGAACCTTCCCTCCCCTCCCTTTCTCCCTCCTGAAAACCACAGGCAGAGAAAACAACCCGGACTCCCCATTTCCCACACCATTCTATTTTCTGCCAAAGACGTTCATACCCAAAATATCCTCTCCACACAACTGTCTGTAGAAAGCCAGCTCCTCATCTTGGCAGAAGTTACTCACCAGAACTCTGCTCCAGCCACGGGGCAAAAAAATAACCTGGGAGTCTGTCTGGGAGAAGCGGAAGTTGTGGGCTGGCAGTGAGAGCTGGTCAGTGGGGCGTTTCCCAGCACAGAGTGGGTGCACCCTGGGAGGCCCTCACAGGAGCGCCCCACCTCGGAGCCCTGGCCACAGCAGCCCCTCAGGACCCTGATGGTTCCAAGGCCCGGAAGGCTGAGAAGGTGGGTCATGGTGACCCCGGAGCCAGGTTGTTCATATGGTTTCCAATTGGCTGAATGAATTATAGGTGGTTTTAAGAAATATTTTTATTGATTTCAGAGAGAGGAAGAGAGAAACATCAATGATGAGAGAGAATCATTGATTGGCTGCCCCCTGCACGCCCCATACTGGGGATTGAGACCACAACCTGGGACCCTTCAGCCCACAGCCCAGTGCTCTATCTACTGAGCCAAACTGAATAGGCTATAGGTGTTTTTTAAAAAAATCCTCATCCAAGTACATGCTTATTGATTTTAGAGAGAGGGGAAGGGGGTGAGAGAGAAAGAGAGAAAAGAGAGCAGTTGTCTTCCAATAATTGCCCCAACTGGGAATAGAACTCGCAATCCTCGCAATGTGTCCTGACCAGGAATTGAACCCCAACCTTTTAGTGTAAAGGACAGCACTACAACCAACTGAGTCACACTAGCCAGGGCAAATTATAGAATATTTTAATGCCATCCATACTATGTTCTTTTTTCCTTTTTATTGAATTTGTTGGGGTGACTCTGGTTAACAAAATCATACAAATTTTTTTTCGGGTGCACAATTCCACAGCACATCATTTGCATACTATGGTTTTTCATATATATATATATATATATATATATATATATATATATGAATAAATAAATTGGTTTAAGAACTTCCAAACTGCTATAAAGGACTGGATAAAAATAATTGGCAATGAGCGTATTTCACATCATTGCTTCTAAGAGACTTCAGTCTTTCTTTTAAATTATTTGGAAGTGTGAACTTTCAGCAGACTCTGTTTTATCTGTCTGCTTCTCTACATCTCCTCAGGCAAGGTCACCTCTATCTGATGCCTGGCCACAGCAGCCCGAGTGACCTTTCTGAGACACAGTTCCATCAGGTGCTCCCCGATTTACAATATTTCCTACTGGCCCCCGGCAAAGCAATGCAACTTTTGGCATGAATATCATAAACTGTTGTACCTACACGATGTGGCTCTTTCTCTCTTTACCAGCTTCATCTACATTTTAGACCCGTGGTTGGCAAACTGTGGCTCGAGAGCCACATGTGGCTCTTTGGCCCCTTGAGTGTGGCTCTTCCATAAAATACGACGGCCTGGGTGAGTCTATTTTGAGGAAGTGGTGTTAGAAGAAGTTTAAGTTTTAAAAATTTGGCTCTCAAAAGAAATTTCAGTCGTTGTACTGTTGATATTTGGCTCTGTTGACTAATGAGTTTGCCGACCACTGTTCTAGACCAACCGCCTTGCCCATCAGCTGTCTGTCCTTTCATTCCTAGACCACGCCCACCCCCACAGCCTTCCAATAATGACTAAGACCTGGAGCGAGAGACCTCCAGGAGAATTACAACGTTTTACTTCGGTTTATTCATCTGTAAAATGAAGAAAAAACAATACCCGCCTTACAGGGTTGTTGGGAGGATTAAAGAAGTCAATGCAACAAGTAAAGCTGACGTATGTAATTGCTCAATCAGATGAAAGATAATCAGTATCAAGCTAACTCTTGGCTATCTTGATGATCTAAGCCCAAATGTTATTTCCTCAGAACTCTCCTGTCGCCTGAGAATGACGTCCGCCCCCACAGGCGCTTCACGCCATCCTTAACTCAGAATGTCCTGTCTCCCCATGTTTCCTTGGTGTCTGTGAACTGTTCATGTATGTGGCGTCGCTGACTCTCTCCTGTAGGTGGGGTTCCCATGTGTATGTATGTGAGTTAAATTTGATTAGTTTCTCTTGTTAATCCGTCTCATAATTTAATTATTAGACCAGCTGAAACAACCTTGAAGGTAAAAGTCTCTCCCTCCTAAAATGTGACGTGATTGACTGACTTGCCCACTTTAAGAAGAATCGGATCAAGGTGAGTGTGCAGAAGAGACTTTTCCATGATGTGACTGCTGCCTGGGATGAGGCCAGAAGAGACTGCTTCCCTGAATTCCCAGGCTGTCGGGCCGACCCTCTTCTGCTCCCCCGGCATGCTGGTTCCTGGCCCAGGCTGTTACCCCTCCCCAGGCAAGTTTGCAAGTCACCTTCCCCTTATCTGGGGCAGACCACACCCCAGTGCCCTTATCCATCCTGCCCTGTCTCTCCACCTTAGCACCTGCCACGTTGCACTGACGTCCACATCATCTCGCCACTGTCCAAGACGTGTCTCCCTCACGTGTAAAGTCCCTTAATAAACCCCACAAGCACCGTGGAGGTTAGTAAGAGCTGCTGTATCTCTGGAATTTGCCTTAGCACATAGTAGGTCAGGTGGTGGATAAATGTTTGTTGAATGACCAAGCTTAAGTAATTTAGCCAGCACTTTTCCATAAAGAAGACAAGATTTTTATGCCTTTTCTGTGGTGAAATCCATTTGTAGAGTGGGGCAATGCCTGGGGGCCCAGCCCAACTCCCCACAACTAAATTTCCTCAACTAAAGCTCATTTGGGCTCCCAAAGC